ACAAGTGAAGCTCTACATGCACTCGTTTAATAATCAGTCCTCGACGCCAATCATCTACGTTTACTGGCTACACAAATCCGTTACTTCTCCTCGCACGCCTCCTCCTCCGCTTCCTCATTACATTTTCCTTTGGTAAATACTTATAGCCAAGCTGTGTATTACTTTATTCAAATGAATACCGTAATCCAAGACATCGGCGAGCCTCGTTTATCTATCATTTCCGAGATTTAAAGGATTAAAGCTGATCGGCAACGCGCTTATTTATTATTCTCTTGAGTTAAAAATTTAATGGCTTTGGTTGAAATTTAATTATCGCAATGTCGGACTTTTCCTGTGTCTATATATATACCGTTCACTCCATATAAACGTTGTTTCTTTCCTTCAAGTCTCTTTTACTATTTCTCTACATTAGTCTACAATACATTTATATTATATTTTTATATTATATTTTTATATTATATTTTTATATTATATTTTAATACTGTTGATTGACTGAGTGAAAAGAAACGCGTCTTTTGTATTTTCATAAATACTTTCGAAATTTCATCTCGTCGTAAAACGATTAATTTGCTCGATGTCAAACATTTACACTAAAAATAAAACAAACGTTCATACGATTAATTTACAATTTTAAAACCTATTCCTTTTTTTTCTATTTTCTTTTTTTTTCCATTTATCCATTTTTGTTTGTTTTTTTTTTGTTTTTTTGTTTTTCTTTTCTTTTTGTTTACACAATTCCATACAATAAAAAGACTATACTTCAGTACATTGTCTTACGATGTAACACGCTGGTACAGTAAAATGATTATATTATCGTCGGGCACAGAGATTATATACAATTAGCCAATTAAAGTGCCGAATCGACAAAAATGCAATAATTAACTTGGCTCCACCGTATATTGAAAAAAAAAAAGAAAAAAAAAGAAAAAAAAAGAAAAAAAAAGAAAAAAAAAGAAAAAAAAAGAAAAAAAAAGAAAAAAAAAGAAAAAAAAAGAAAAAAAAAGAAAAAAAAAGAAAAAAAAAGAAAAAAAAAGAAAAAAAAAGAAAAAAAAAGAAAAAAAAAGAAAAAAAAAGAAAAAAAAAGAAAAAAAAAGAAAAAAAAAGAAAAAAAAAGAAAAAAAAAGAAAAAAAAAGAAAAAAAAAGAAAAAAAAAGAAAAAAAAAGAAAAAAAAAGAAAAAAAAAGAAAAAAAAAGAAAAAAAAAGAAAAAAAAAGAAAAAAAAAGAAAAAAAAAGAAAAAAAAAGAAAAAAAAAGAAAAAAAAAGAAAAAAAAAGAAAAAAAAAGAAAAAAAAAGAAAAAAAAAGAAAAAAAAAGAAAAAAAAAGAAAAAAAAAGAAAAAAAAAGAAAAAAAAAGAAAAAAAAAGAAAAAAAAAGAAAAAAAAAGAAAAAAAAAGAAAAAAAAAGAAAAAAAAAGAAAAAAAAAGAAAAAAAAGAGAAAAAAAGTGAAAAAAAACTGCTTATCGTCTTAACGTCTTATCAATTCGCCGCATCTAAAGTAACGTTCGGCCGAGCCCAGCCGCGACGCAGACGCGGAAAAACTCGGCGCAACAACCTAATGTTCCTTGGATTCGTCGAGTCTCGTAATTAGCAATTATAATTTCAGCACTTCGGTGAAATTAATGGGCGATTATAGGCCTTTGCGCGCGTAGCCGACCACGGACACTTTCACTCTCGATTCACTCGGCAAGGGAAGCCTCTCCTCTCCGCCTTTCGGTTTCACATCCAAGTCCCTTCGACTCGCTGATTTAATCGTCCCTCGCTCTTTTTATCTCGGCTCCGCGATGTTTATTTTTATTTTACGCGATGCCCACTTTTACGAGCGTCACTCTTACGATGAATAGGATTTCTTTTTAAACTGCATGTTTTCGCAATCGTAGCTGCGCCTCGGAGAAACTCCCAGTGATTTACTATAAATCGATGCTGCCATAACGCAGCCTTATCCTTCTCCTTCTCCTTTAATTTAATGGTCGCTATTCGATGCTATTATGGTACCGTATAAATTTTTTATAAGCTTCAATGGAGCTTATGAAATGGCTTAAATTTTCAAAATTTATTTTACTCTTCAAAATAACCACCGCATGACGTATATACGGCTTTGCGGAAAATGTGATTTATTTATTATGTTTTTATATTATGAAATTGTGCTCACTAATATACCGATTATTGAGAAAATTATCCATGCTATCGATTTAATTACTCCAGCTTTTCCAAATGAAATCGATATTTACTTGTTGAAATATCAATCGATAAAAAATTATTCTTATCAATTTAATAGAATAATAATTGTTAATGAGTGCAGTAATTCAAATTAGAATCTCGCTTGTCGTTGTTACCATCGTTCTTGTAAATCTTATTCGAAATTTTCATTGAAGTAAGATCCAATTTAAAGGTACTCCACGTTAATACAACAATCGTGTAAATAGAAAAGATCCGCTTTCGCCATTAACATTGCTGCAAAATTAATTCAATTAACATCTATAACTCTACGTGACACTGGTGGTGACTGAAATAATGATTAACAAAACATATCCTGAGAGCGTGATTGCCATAATAAAGGAGTCCTTATACGCATTATTTTGTGAATTATTGCCACTTTTTTTTTTTTTTTTTTTTTTTTTTTTTTTTTTTTATTTAACTGAAATTGAAAATTAAGAACGAATGGTATAAGATTATAAGTATTATAGTACAGGATATACTAGTCATGGTACTCCAAATAGTTGCCTTGACTAGTATAATAAGAGGCATTAATTTCGTAATTAGAATATAAAGTATGAAATTAAGGAAATAAATTCTTTTCCAATCTACTTATATTCAACAAAAGCATAGTTTTACATATGAAAAACATTATACACGAATACTGCAAACTTATAAATTCTTATAAATCTGAACAATGTATTAAAAATCGAAAAGCTATTTATCGAAGAAATCCTAATTTTCAAGCTATTTTTTAATCTTAAAATAATCATCAAGGTTTTGTTTTCTACATAATTATTATATTAAATGACGATAATTAGTCTAATATTAAAAATGTTCATTTTAGCAATGAATTATATATGTCTGATATGTAAATTAATTTGAAAATAATTTAACTATTATATGACTTTGTCTGCCAGTCCATTAAACATTAATGTTTCAAATAAATTTTTAATCATTTAAAATTTTTCCAATATTATTTAAAAATTATTTATGACGCATAAATCTCGATTATTTATTCTATTTTTATATTAGTTAAAATGTACGATATTCATTGATGATGAAATAGAGTTCCAACTGACATTATTAAATAAAAAAAATTAAACAAAATTATTTTACTTGTGTATGATGACCGTATATGGAAAGAAAAAACACCGTTATCTGCTTAGTTATACAAAAAACTTATCTCAGATGACAAGTGTTGCAAAATTTATCTGCATTCTAACTTTAATACACGTGACCAAAATATTCAAATTTTTTTTTAAATTATAATCAAACTTTTTTTTAAATTTTGTTTTATATGATTTTCCACCTTCAGTAAATATTTATATTTATATTTTTATGCAAATGCACATATCTATGCGGCTCTTCTCAAAATTGCCTATCAATCGCTAATCTTGTCTAACTACATGGTTTTTATTTAACTTTTTCACTAATTTGAAATTATTATTATATTAAGCTCATGAATAATTTTTCCATTAAATAAAACAGTCATTATTTATACCTACACTGGATATATATATATATATATATATATTTTTTTTTTTTTTGGGAATTGTCTTGATCGACGCTAATTAATTGAAAATTAATGATTAAGGAATTTTTTAACATTACAATTATTTTTTTCTGAACTAATAGATTAATAAAATTTGTATTTATATAAATTATTAATCATAATAGTATAGATCGTGAAATAGTTGATGTTAAGATAGAATCATATATTTGTAAGAGTGTGTGTACGTAATTTTTGTTGAAATTGGAACATTTTTATTAAAGAAATTTCTACTGTTATGAATATTTTCTCTAATTTTCATGAATGATTATCTTTCTTCTTTTTCCATTTATAGAAATCTAATAATTTCATTCAATAAAATAATTTCAAATGCGTCTCCATACTTCTTTTCTCTTTTGTTATAATATTGTTGTTATTATAATTAGAAATTATTAACTTAACAATTTTCAATTATAACTTTATATTATTATAATTTCGAAAATATAAAATTTCAAATTCCCTATAATTTTATTGATAATAATGTCTGTAATGCAATGATGAAGTAAAATTATAGGACATATTATCACATCATTATCAATTTCTAAAAATCATTTCGTGTCCTTGATCATGATATCCTAGACAAATTAAAGCTTCCGCATAGTTCTCGTAAAAACTTAAAATAGATATAATTTGTGGACCAAATGAACTCCGACAGTACTATTTACTTTCAAATATTTTTTCGTGTTTAATTGATTTGTTTAAAAAATTTCTCTAGAATATTATGGATTACAGAATTTATTAATTTTCTTTTCTGTTTAATTGTATTATTATTGCTTAGAAAGCCTTAAATATTCGCTTCTTAAATTAATTAGTATATTTCATTATTTAACGATCTATATGTTGAATAAAATAACGATACATAAGCGTACTTAATACTCTTTATATAGTTAAAAAGATTATGATAAATGCATTTTTATTACAAATAATGATTTATTGTATAAGATAAATATCTTGAGCAGCTAACTTTAGGAAGCCTATAAGTATAAGATTTATAAATTAAAATTAAGAGTTTCTATTCTACGGTTTAAGCAAAAATTAGATAAAAAGTTTCCCATAATTTAAAATTTAATTACCTCCCAAATATAAATCTCGTACTTAACTCGGTAGATTTAATTAACGAATTAAGGAAATTACGAAAGCTTCGTTCGTCAATGATGTAGGAGAATAATTTTCGCAAACGGTTCCCACATTAAACATACGAGATATAAAATTAAAATTTCACTTTCCATATTTTTACTATATTTCACATAACTTAATTAGCTATATTTCTTTGTTGCAGATCTACTAGGATGAGAGCTATATTTTTAGTGTTTTTTGGTCTTGTTGCCTTGGCAACGGCACAGCGTCGTCTTGCATTGCCGGATCCGCGAAGCTGCGCCAGCCGTAAGTGAAAATCTTGCCGATAAAGCATCTCTATTATTAATTTAAGGACAGACATTCGTAAAAATTGTTTATGCCTCGCTGCAAATAAAATAAGAATATGTCATCAAAATGATAATATCAAAAATTCGCTTATCATTGTAATAAATTATAAAGGAATTTTTTTTCCAAATTAAACGAAATAATGAATAATATTTCATTGTATAAAATAAAATTTTATTTAATATATTCTATTGAATTACATTCTGTTTTTTTTTTTTTTTTTTTTTGTTTTTTTTTTTTTTTTGATAAATTTATAACCAAATGATAATAAATTCGAAAAATTTTCTTAACTTGCATATATCTCTGTTATAATATTATACATTTTTTTTTAACAATAATTGCGAGACTCGTAATTTTTCTTATACGCATGATGCATTTCCTTGCTTTATTGCATTACATGAAACAGAACATAAATATAAAACATTTTTAAAATCTTTCAAATCGACACTCTAAAGAAAGTTTTAAGACATATTTTAAAAAGTGGAGCAAATACCATGTAAAGTCAATTATAAATTACTAAAATTTCATCGTTGTTTTTGCATTTAGTTAATTTCAAATACATTGTAAAATAAATTTGATGCCAATTCTTTCTAATGTCATAAAAATCTCAAATTTTGCATCGAAGGAAAAGTTGAAAATCATTGAAATTCATAATTACAAACTGCACTTTGTAAGTAAAATGTACATGGTTATTAAAATATATCAAGTAATATCGAATCAATTAAAAAAAATTATGAAAATATTATAATTTTTTTTAAATCATAAATTTACAATAAGAGAAAGTTTTAATTAATATAACATAAGATAAATTATTTACTACGGAATATTGGAAGTACATTAATGATTTTCAATATTCACTACTATAAACATCCTTATTTTCACTTCATATTCAATTGAGTTGCACATTATTTATTTATTTTTTAAACGTTATTTATTTTCTGCCTGTTACTTTTGCCTCTCTCGTTCATTTTTGAAGTTCATCGTTATTATAAATTATTTACATCGAAATACAAAACATTAAAAATCATAATTTTTTACATAATGTTTTTATGTAAATATCATGTTTTTAAAAAACTTTCATTTTAATTACACCTTATTTATAAATACAAACAAACAAGTGCAAATACTTTCTCTCTTATACTCATATTTGCTTGCTGATTTATGTTTAATAAAATTCCTGTGTTTTTCGATAAATCGTTATACAACCAGTAACATGAATTATTCGATTTTACTAAATTGTGTTCTCAATATAATAAAAAAAAACTTTTTTTTTTTTTTTTTTTTTTTTTTTTTTTTACAATCGCATCAACCTACCATTAACTTCTCCTCCATCGTTATCCGAATTAACGATACAACTCCAGAATTCTCTTTAAAACTCTCACGCGTAAAAAAACCATGACTTTATTGTTCGAAGTTTTCTCAGCTTTTTAAATCCTTTTTAGATATTGTTTACTTTTACTCTTTCATTTGTAGTGGTCTACATGACGGAGGACGGAGATCAATCGTTGCAAGAAAAACATCGCGATTTCACCGTGAAATTTACACATCGGCGATTTTCCAATAAGAAGCCGTTTGCCATTCGTAAATCGTCGTTCACATCCACGAATCGGTTTTTTGCTCCTTTTTGTAACGATAATTGTATTGCGGTCGGTCGCAACTCTTTTGTAGGACTTCTTCTTTAAAGCTTCTTAGTACAGCAATAATTTTTGTTCTCAATTTTTCCTTGAATCTTTTTGTTTTCATCAAATCTTAATGTACGAACATTTTATTTGAATATGCTCGTAAAGGGAATATTATAATTACTTAATGAACACATCTATACGCTTAATCTATTTCTGTCCATATTAAATTTATATTTTCGATAGTATTTATTTTTAATGTGTGGAATTAAATTGTAAGTGGTAAATACGTATATAGTATTTATTATAGGTCAATACATATATTTGTATATCCTCGAATGATCCTTGTGTGAAATTTTGTAATTAAATGTAATTGAAATTACAAGTTTTATAGATAAAAAGTTTTTTTTTAAATCATAAGTATTAACTTTATTATTTCTTGAAAATTAAATAATAAAATATGATTAAAAACATCAGAGTATTATATTATATAAAGCACATATTATGTTACTATAAAAAAGTTACATTTTAAAAATTAATTAATTTAATTAACTGTCGATAAATTGTTTACCATTGGAGTTGAAATGAATTACATATTGCAACGATTTATCTCAATATTTGTATTTATTTAACAGAGTGTATCGAAAATTTTGTAAAAAGTAAGGACTTTAATACGCAATTTAAAATTTCTACATGCATTAGATAATTTTTTGTATTTTTGTAAATTGACGTTCTCTGCTAGTTTTTCATATAATTCATATGGTTTCATCATTTATATTTCATTCAAAACACTATTTCGTGAAGTCTGACTATACTATTTCGTTTTTTAATCTGACTTTAAAATATTTCTAATAACGATTAAATATAATATTTTAACGTTAACGATAATATTAACCAACAGATCGCGCTATTATTTCATAGTTTGATAATAAAATGTAAAAATAAAATATCATTCAATATCAAATGTTCCGTACATGACACGATGTTACATAATTTTATTAACAAAATTAATCTATTTAACTAAAATATATAGCATTTCCTATTTATTGTAAATAAAGTCTAAAATAAAATCTTATAAATTTCTGTAATTATACAACAATTTTTAACACAATTACACTCAATGACGTTTCATTTTTCTATGATTTAATATACTAAGATTGTTTACAATCAAGTATGTAATTAGTACTAGTAAATCTAATGAATCATTAATTAAAGAAAAAACTCACCTTTTATCATATTAATAAAAAGTCACTTGTTCAATCATTAGTACCGCATAAATTAATTATTTAACTTCGTCAATTCTTGCCTTGTGAAATCTCAATATATTTCTACGCTATTTCATTAATATAATATATATATATATATATATATATATAATAAATTAATGTATTCTATATATTAAAAGAATTTAAAGTAAAGTTTAAAATTTAAACACTTTTGTTCGAAATATTAAATAGTATTTTGAACGTTAAATGTATCGAAAGTAGCGAATTTTGTTTAAAGCGAGCGCATACTCATATATTTTCAGAAATGCTGCGATGCATATAATAACCTCGCTACACGTAACATCATTTTATATATTTGTCTTATTCTCACTCTTTCTCTCTTTCTCTCTTTCTCACTTTCTCTCCCACTTAATTGCGTCACAATGATCGGGATGTTGGAAGGTCTAAAGATTGGTTAATACAACGAATCCCCAAAACATTACAACCGTCCGAGAAAATAAAGACGGATAAATTATGTGCCACAGGTGTGCGACACGCAACGTATAGAGATGCGCGTGGTGTCGCTCACTCATACTTCTTCAGCTGGGAACATCAGCCAACAAGAAGCTTAGAGGTCGACTGGCTCGACGCCAGGAACATCTGCAGACGCCATTGCATGGACGCCGTGTCGCTCGAGACACCCCAAGAGAATGAATTTATTAAGCAGAGAATCGCACGAGGTGAGTTGAAATGCTCTTCGTTATTCGTCGTAAATCGCGTAATGGATTCTGCCGAGTGATGTAATATATTTAACGTAATATTGCTTAAAATTGAATAATTATCGAGCAAAGTATTGTACTTTGATAATCCGATAAGGTACGAATAGAATACATCCTCGCTCAGAAGGACATGTAAGATATCAAAAATTAATGATGGATTTTCAATTTTAAATATAACTTACACGCTATTTAATTTTCCTGTTGATTTAGTGATTGATTATATGTTTAACTTATTTGAAAATCGTAGATAAGATAATGAAAATTATATATTTCATATACGTTGCGGAACTAACGATTTTCATCGATTAGATATTAAAATGCACCGATTATTGTTCATTTTCTTTGTTTCTTATGATTAAATATTCATAATTTACATAATTATATAAAAACTAATTACTTTTTATGATGTTTATCCAGTACTACATAAGACAATTATTATGTTTATATAAAACGTAGAAGCTCATTAGAATACAATTATTTTTATAAAATTTAACAATTTAATTTCATTAAGACGAATTATTTAAGCAAAAACTTGCTTTCATTGCTGTGTCTATTAGAATTCATGTACGGTGCAATTGTGCATTGGACATTTTACTCGATAAAAATTGTAGCTTTAAACGCAAATCTAAACTAATCATTAAAAATGTAGAATTATTTAAACTATTGGAAAATATAGAATAAAATAAATATTAATATTTGAAAAAATAATCTACATTTGCATTGATAAAAACAGTATCTCTCATTATATAGATTTTCAAGCTTGATAATTAAATTGCACTGATTGATATCGATAATTTTTGAAATATTACATTATACGTTTTGAAATTTAAAATCAAATATACCGATAAATTAATATTCTCAAAATTTAAATAAAAACGTAATAAACTTTTCAGACATCGACTGATTTTAAATGTGATATTATTTTAATTTTTTTCACATCCAAATTTCGATAATGATGTTTCATAAAACAAAATACCATTGAAATTTAGAAAACCATTTTTTTAAAGTGCATCAATATCCTATTTCTACATTTATTCAATAAATACACAATTGTGTATGACAAAAATTACTTTTTAGTTTCAAAAATGTTGTAAAAAAATTGCACATTTTGAATTTCTTACGTTATTGTCCGCCATTTTAGAATCGAGTATTTATTATATAATGCACATGGAAATTGTATAAAAATATTTATAAAAATACTCAATTCCTATTAAACTAAATGATAGGCCGAATCCAACGTAATAGACAGTTATGCTATCGAATGAATTTAAAAAGGCAAGTCATCGTCTATTAAAAAATTCTCGTGAAATCGCTGAATTAGCCACCGATGTTTTTTTTTTTTTTTTGCCCGATTATTATAATCAAAATATAATTGTTTTCACAAATGTGAAGTCATAAACAAAATATATAGATAAATAATTATTTTGCAAAATCATTCTCAAGTATTGTCAGCATTCGCAGTAATGCATTATTCGCTCGCAAAAATTTGCAACGTAAACGCCAGCTGCTTAAAGCCGCTCATCCATCTTTTATTCATTTTATTGTCCATTTTCTTTACTTTTACAACAATTAATCTCCCTCCCTTTATTTATCTTTAATGTTTATAATGATTTAATGAAGGTATTCTCCGACACTTCCTCTTCTTTACCACTAGCATTTCTTAACTCAAATCCTTTGAGGTTTCAGTTGCCTCCAACATAGTAACCACACTTAAACATCCACACACGCACGCACGCACGCACGCACACACGGAGAGAGAGCATAATGAAAGCGCAAATTTGTTGCGACGGTTTATCCACATATGCAAACGATGTCGCGTGTGTAGAAATATGCCTTTAGACGACACGAATTGTCGGTCCGCTCTCGACCTATAAAGCCTGATTTTGATTTATGAATAGCGAACATTTTTTTCCTTCTTCGCTTCAAATGCCGACGATGTTGTAAGTGCTTTACAAGAGCTTCGCAACTTTTCTTTCAAACCTTCTGTTTATGAATTTCTCGCTTCTTGCGTAGAATAACTTATCATAGAAATGATGAGTTTTATTTTTGTTACTTAGTAGTTTCCTCGAATTGAAAGATAATAAAGTTTCTTATTTATCACGAAAACTGAAATTACATTATTTTCTTTAATTATTGGCCATGTATTACGCTATTACATATTCATATTACTACATACAAGTTGCATATTATCTTATATAATCTTGATTGAGGAACAAGCATTATACAAAAGTATTTTTTTTATTTAAAATTACAAATTACTCCAATATATTTATATGTAAACAGATTACTATATTTTAAACTGAATTTCAAATTTATATTTTTATCTGCATTGTTATAGTATATATTTAAAGAATAAGGAAAAAAGAGTTTATTTTTGTTTTGTTTATTACACTCTATTTTGTACTTTAACCTTTTAAATTCATAATACTTCTTATTAGAGAAAGATAGTAATAATATAGAAATTAGAAATTTCCAACGAGCGAATGTAAAAATGCGAAAAATTTGAGGAAATAGCTCGATGATATACTAATTACTAAAGTATTAATAAATTTTTTATTCCTGAAACTTAATAATTATAATCTTTCTAATAAAGTAAATACAATAATAATCAAACTAACGCAATTGCTTATCATTGTTATATTAGTGGAACGAAAATTTTATAAATAATAAAATTTAATCTTATATACAAGTCCATGACTATATGTAGATTTATCATGGATTTTTAGATAAAATAGAATTGAATAAATTTATTAAATAAAGACTTTCATAGCAGCGGCTTTCCGTGCAATATATCTTTCCTAAAAATCATTCACCAATTCACTTTTTATGTTCAGTTAATTCGCTCGATTAACTTGCAATGAATAGTATCAATTTACTTTCACTAAAATGCACTTTTTATGAAATGAGAAAATAAGTTAATAAAATTATTTTTATTAAATCGGTATTCCTAACTGGTTTTAGGAAATATATATTTATATATTTTTTCTCCATATGCATTATTATTTGTACTTTAAATTTTCAATCATTTTATTCCTAGATGTTCCGATACTTTCAATTAGTTCAGTAATTAAATTATATAATATTTTAATTTTGTAAATTGATTCATATCTAAAATACATATTATTTAACAATAGCATATTACTAGAAATATACATTTGATAAACATTAAATTAATAGCTGCATTTAGAAATACGGATTTTTAATAATCTAATATCGATTCTATCTATTGTATACAAATATTGCTTGCATAATTTTAAATTTTATATCATACATTAAAAACTGAAAATTCAATTATAATTAAACAATAAAAAGATTTTCTACAAACAAAATGTATTTCTTTATGTGTGCGTGTGCGTGCGTGCGTGCGTGCGTGCGTGCGTGCGTGCGTGCGTGCGTGCGTGCGTGTGTGTGTGTATTTTACAATATTACAGAGAATGACAAAAAGTATACTATTAATTCAGAATTCATTAGAATTTTTTCATAATTATGATCAATAAGTATATTAAGAAAAAGCTTATTTACTGGACTAATAAGCATTATTCATATTAAATTTATAATACTAATTCGAATTCGGAATTACGTAAGCAATCAGCAAATGGAATAAATAGAATTGCACAAATCATCTTCCGACTTAACGATTCATTTTCAAAGTATACCGTACTTCTTAAAACAAATTTTTTTTAAAAATTCTATTCAATAAACGTAGATTTTTGTTGTTGTTAAAAATAGGAATACAATAACATATTTTAATACTATACACCAGGTTTGATAGGAATTACAAATGTTTAAAGTCTTGTATTTATTTAATAAAAATATTAATAATGAGTGTAACTAAACCAAAATTACGTTATATTTGAATAAATATTTGTTAAATTCTAAATTTAAATTTTATTTCAATAGATGAGTTATAGAGTAATAGAAACATCTTTCTATCGTATAACTGAAATCGTAAAATGTTTTGTTGAAATTCTGATGTAAGTTTTCTATAATAGAGCTAATGCAATATTTTACTTATAAAAATATAATTCAAATTGTATGGAGATCGTAGAAAGTCTGTTCTAATTAAGATTACAATAGATAAAAGACTATAAAATTCTATTTACATCGTATGTAAATAATTATTGAAAAAGAACTTAATAGCATTGTTTTAAAATATAAAGTAAAAGAAAATATTGTAATAACGTGAAAATAGTGGTATCATTACACCAGCTACCCACATGCCTCTGATAATGTCTTACTTTTTATCAATATAAATTTTGCAATTTTTTTTTACTCATTCTTTCTATGTCTGTATATCAACCCCCCCCTCTCTCTCTCTCTCTCTCTCTTCCTCCTATCTCTCGCACTCATTTTTTTTTCAATCGTGTCTCTTCTGTCGGATTCTCTAAACTTATGTATTGGATGTTTCTTTTAAACATGCAGTGCACGATGAAGTTTAAAATGTTTGTTAACGCTGAATTATTACGTGTTTCCAATATTTAATGTAAAATAGAAATATATTGCAATTTTTTAAACATGAGCTATTTCAATATTTTATAAGTAATAATGAAAACTTTTGAAAATGCACGATATTCTTTAATACAATAATATTCCAAATAATATAGAAAAAGTATACGTTTTACGTATAATTGGAACAACATAAAAAATATAAATTATATTTATTGAATAAAAATGAATTTTTATTTAAATATTGACGAACGTATTGTAAAATTGATACCATATTACATATGCGATTATATTTAGTTATTGTTTTATTATAAATTTATAGATTAATAGTATTATTTTATTTATTCGAATGATAATTATGCTGTGATAAAAGTAATAAACGTCATAATAATGTCATCTTAAATAATTATCCTATTAAGTTTAATATGTAAAATTTTATTGGATAGATAATAATTTGGAATAGATGTTATGTAAAGTTTATAGTATTGAATTAGATGATACGATGAACAAATTTAGTTACTTAAAATATTTAATTACCTAGAACGGCGATTATAACACATAAGACATGTCAATCAGCTGAAAAATTTTATTGCGTGCGCAATGAATTTGTACACAGCTTCAGCCATATCAATGTATAACGGTTAATCCCAAATACATCATTAGAAATGATGGTGGATTCATCAATAGAGTGTCATTGAACAATCTTCTATTTAATCTATTGAGAGAGTACGTAGAAATTCGTGTTTAGTTGTTTCCATTATAAATTATCCAATGATGCAATCAACTCATAATGGATTAGGTGCGCCACCTCCGTGTCATATGTATATTGAATTTCATGTATATATGGAATAATATAACGTGCACAATACCTGTAAACTTCGTTCATTATAAGTTATAGATAATCTTTGTTAACCATAAAATATAAAAATAGAGTATAAACATTGTTAATGATACATCAAACTATCATATTAATTTGAAATATTTTAAACTAATCGAATTTAATATACATAATCACAGTTTTAAATCTATTTATTCGGAGATAAAGTAATTTGAAATTATTTATTAAGGTTAATGAAGCTGCGCATTCAAATTAATTTAATATATTTGAGTAAATTAATAAAATTAAATATATTTGCATTCAATTGAATGAAAGTATATGTAGTTGCTGATGAATCAATATTAGTTGGTGAAACATTTAAAGTAAATTTACAAATCATCTATAAATATTCGTTTATTACCTATAAACATATGGATCTGAATACCAAGTAATTGCATTTTATTAAAAAAGATAAAGTCAATGTTTTTAATCTATATGATTAATTCAAATCTTCGCTAAACTCCCTGTTCACCTTGTTTTTGTTTTATAGAAAAAACCGAGAACTTATTTTTTTTTTTTACAAAACTTTTTATTGCTATATTATTCTCATGATAACTAAAATTATTTGCACATCATTATATGTGTGGCTGTATACAACAATTATTTTTGGATATTTTTAAAATGTGAAAAGTCAGTAATATTTAATCAATTTTATGCTTTTATAATATATATTTGAATGCACACGAAGCTTCCAATTAAATCGAGAATTTATCGTCACTATCAATGTATGCAAATAGAAATAAACTTTTTTTATTGTAAATCTATGTTAGCTCTTGTGAAAATGATCTGCTGTACATAGATCTTTTTATACTTATGACTTAAATGCATTGCAAGCGAAAAAAATATGAAAGCCGATAGTGTTGAAAATGTGTGCCAAGCTTAATTCCATGAGATTCGCTTGATTTCTTAAATTTGCTTAAAATGAGCGATAGAATACTCGAAGTATATCTTAAATTCGGAGATAAATCGTCTAAAAATAGCTGCCGGCATTATATTAAAACATTACGAAAGCTTAATTTAGGATTATAAATCCTAAAAGGCTTGCGGTAATAATAAAGAGATCTACGAATTTTGAAAATATAATTTCGACAATCCAAACATACAAATTCCCATCTCTTCTAGGTAACATACGATACATCTGGACTTCTGGTCGCAAATGCAACTTCAACGGCTGTGACCGACCTGACCTCCAGCCCCAGAATGTTAATGGATGGTTCTGGTCCGGATCCGGTGCCAAAATCGGATCCACGAACCAACGCAATACCGGGGATTGGAGTCACACCGGAGGTTACGGTACTCCGCAACCTGATAATCGCGAGGCCGCTCAGGTACGTTATTTACAATTAAATCACATTGAATTTTATTTGATTTTACTCTTTCGCAAATCCCTTTATTTATACGTTTGATAAGTTGTCGTCGTTTCGTTTAATTGCCCCTACGATAAATCAATAATGAATCGCACTTTTAACACAAATGCAAATTTTGAATTGATTTTATTCTCTTTATGAAACTGAAAATTCTCGGTGCGAAGATCATTGAATTGAAATTAAAACAAATGATTTTTAGGGTAATGACGAGTCATGCCTGTCGATCTTGAATAACTTTTATAACGATGGGCTCAAGTGGCACGACGTTGCCTGCCATCACATCAAACCCTTCGTCTGCGAAGACAGCGACGAGCTCTTGAACTTCGTCGCTTCAAGAAATCCTGGCGTTCGCCTTTAAGTAAGCATCCTGTAACTTCAGCAGTAGCGAATTTCAAGAAGACCAGTAATAGCATCGTCGAAGCGTTTTTTTTTTTTTGTTTTTTTTTTTTTGTTTTCACCTATCTTCCAATAATGTAATGCATGCGAATGAAGAAACTCCCCGCCTGGGGATTGTACACATAGCTGCTGATAATCTTATCACTGCTACTGAACAAATTGCAAAATTCGCGTACTAGCGTGTGTGCGTGCGTCATATGTATGTGCGTGTGCGCGTGTGCGTGGGTGTGCGTGGGCGTACGTATGGGCGTGTGCGTGTGTGCGTGTCCGGTGGTGGTGGGGGGGGGGGGGGGGGGGGGGGGGGGGGGGGGGGGGGGGGGAGGGAGATAAACTCGATGCCGGCCTTTATGGAAGTGTGAATGCCGTGCGCAAACCAAGGGCTTTGATCATTAACATTATGGATTTCTACGTATACAAAAGTCTATTATATCTTCGATGTTTTATCTTTAAATTATTTATGTGTTCACTAACCGAAAAAAAATGACTCTTTATCGCGCGCCGTTATCATTTAACACTGTCTGTGTATCTAATTTAGCCGTTACGAGATTTAGTTATCTCAAACTGATTGTAAAATTATCTATATTTTTCTCACGAAAATAAATATCGTATTATTTGTACAAAAGCATAGAATTGATTCATTTAATTATCTCCAATTTCGCCAACATTATTATAAACTCCTGTCTTACTCTTATCCTTAAACTTGGATTTTCAACGAATATAAAGTAACATGAATAATAAAAAAAATTTTTTAATACTTTAATTATTACGTTATTCCTATCATTTAAATATAATTGGTATAGTGCGCGCGTGTGTGTATTTGTTTATTTAATTACAACCCAGACAATAAAAAATAAAAACAATTTATTACAACAACCGAAAATATAATCTTAATATTATCTTCATTTTTTTTCTGGAAATCAAAACCATAAAAGTACAAAATCTTCCTAATGAAAGTTTCAATCGAAATTAGTATATTTAAAGCGTTTTAACTGTCATTTGAATATGTATTATTATATAATTTAATTATTTAAACATTGAATTATTTAACAATTGTTTAGGTAATCATGAATACAAAGCTACGGGTAAAATGTTTTGCTCTTCGTAATTTATTTTAATAAATCTATTTAATATCTCTAAAATTTGTTTATTTAAGCAGTTATATATACATATATTTATTAGAAGAATTTCTGTAGTAAGAATAACGTGAGCGTAATATTTTAAACAATAGATATATTAAAAATTTTTAATCAAGACAAAGAATCTTTTTCTAGCATGCATTATACAATTTATAATACTATAGTATTTATTTTCTGTTTGGATGAAAAGTGGAGGTAAAGTATGCAATTCGATTAGAATTACACATTCATAATTACAAGTGTTATATTATATGATTATTAGCTTATGATATCACGAATGTAAAACAAGAAAATCATAAAACTATTGCAGCGGATAATTGAACTAAAGACATAAGTGTATAAATCAGATATGCTGCAGATATATTTATAATGTTTATAACATATTTTTCAAATGTCACATGTAATTATTGTAATAAAAATGAATTTCATTATAAAAGTAACTTGAAATACCGCTTTACTAAACATAAAACTAAATAATTAAGAATATTACGACAGTAATTCTTTAGTGATTGAGATCTACAAGTTATTAATTTTAATTGTCCATTCGATTAATATCGTAAAAACGTATTCTAATAAGCACTTGAACGAAAAAAATTATTGCATTTTTCTGCAACAAATTTTATTAATTTTTAAAATGTCTGTAATTTATATGAACATTGTGCTACATGTAATTTTACTTAACAATTGTTATTGTAACTTAATTGTATTTAAATAAAAAATTGTACTGACCTAAAATATGTCTATAGTTAATAGATTTCCCCATAATAAAAGACTAATTCATAAAACAATTTTTATTCATCGTAATTTAGTGGCAAAGAAAGAGTTCTCAATTTTTTTAAATTACAAAATTTCTTTACCGAAGTTATTCTTAACATTTTGATGCATGTCGGTAGATAAATCTAAAATAATATTAGACCAGATTACTAGAAAAGTTATATTTCTTTAATACGAGAATAAAATTATTTAAACTACTGTAATTAATTCAAAGTAAATTATTGAAGAAATAATTTGTCAAACACGCATATATATATATATATATATATATATATATATATATATGTATTATGTATAAAGTGAATAAAAATAATACATTTGATAAAATATTAGTACAATTGATTCATTACTATAATAAAGTTGAAGCATTGTAACGCGTAATTTTCTCAGTAACAACTTTGCGAATTATAGAAAAATAAAAATATTATAAAGGTATTGTTCGAAACTTTTTCATGTACAGTAGTGCACATTTGCATTGTAGCGCATGCGATCAAGGATCGAAAAATTTATCGAACCATTTTTATAATAATACTCATTTTATGCTATATGGCATATCTGCAATGTCTCGCTCTCTCTCTCTCTCTCTCTCTCTCTCTCTCTCTGTTACTCTCTCTTTTCATCTTTGTATGTAGTATTTATATCTACTTTTCTTTTGCTATATAACATGTAAGCAGCACATGTATAGTATAGATTAGCTACTTGCACAACTTGATAAGTACCATAGTTTCCTTTCAATTTTTTTTTCAATGTCCATTACACATTTGAATTCATTTATCGTAGAGTGCTCAAGTATTTTCTTCTTCGTATATTGTAAAACGAGAGATCATTATAATCTATTAAAATCTCAATGAATAAACTTGATAATATTACTATGAAGTAATATGACTAAACATAACGTAAAATTAACAAGATTTTCCTCCACGGTCTTATACGAAAGCAAAACTAAAATTTGTAATGCCTTAAAATGTTTATAAACATCTTATAATTAATGTAAATTAGAATTGACGAATCATACAACTATTAATTAAAAAGGACAGAAGCTAAAAATAATGAAAATGAATTCATTTGACTATATTCATCGACGCAAATTAGTTAGAATTAAATTGTTAATATAAAAAATAAGAATTGAAATTGAGGATAGAACGTGGATTGATGAATGCCAATAGTGAAAACATGACGTAAAAACTCGTTAACTAAATGTGTATGGTTTTCTATTCTAGTATACGAATAACAATCCAAAGTACATCTATTTTTCATTAATTAGTACATTATATTTAAGTAGTTTATTATAATTATATTTACTTTAACAATGAATCATAAGATTTAGAAATCGTAATATTGGAAGTTAAAGATAGATTATTCTAAGACGCATTTATTACGTGGAATTTAATTTATATTTGAATATATGAATATGTAATTAAATATTTATTTAACAATCATGCATAACTCTAATTGTCTCCCTCGCTAACTCGTAGTCATACGACAAAAACGGAAACGCTTATTGTCCAATGCACGAAAGTAGCTTTGTTCATTTTATTCTTTATCATCAATATAAAAAAAAAAGCTTTTGTTGGAATTATAAATGACTCTATTATATTCTATATTACATATATAACTTTATGAAAAGAAAGGAAAACAAATCACATAAATTTTCCTTAGATATTGTGATCGATGCCAGTATCGATGTTTCGTCGCTGACTAGTTAGTTCGGTGTGATTTCTAATTAAATTCAAAATTATAACAAAGTGGAGAAAAAGAATATGTCTCACTTAAAATAAGTAAATGAAATTAAATAAAATTTTTGTATCTGTCTATATTTAAGCAATAAAACTATGAATAATAACAAATTTAGAAAAGACCAACAAATGGTTGATATCTTCGCTATCACCTTCACCAATATTGTAACCTAGAATTTATATATTCGCTTACAACTGACGTTATCTCCACATCAACTTGAAACTATATTTATCTCAAAATACTTAGGTTATGCGAAAACGAGCATACATAGGAAATATTCGATAATTCAAAGGATCACGTTTAATAATCCTTGAACTACATAATTTAGCGATTACTTAAAAAGTTAGAAATAATGGAAGAAATCTTCTTCCAACTCAAAGTGTATTTACATCGACTCGGTGGAGATACTTTAATTACAATCAGCTTACAAAATATAACATTATAGGTGTAAAATAATTTGCCCAGCTTTGTTCTAAAATGCCTCTTATTCATCAAATTACTACACCTCCCACTTACCACACCAATTCTTCTTGCACGAAATACATTCGTCTACACCAATAAATACTATTAGAAATTAGCAAATTATTCCCATTACGTTTCATTCAGCTTTACTATAAATAAATAAATAAATAAATAAATAAATATATATATATATATATATATATGCGGATTACCATTATCATTATAAATAAGTTATAATGTACAAATGTAAATTTGAAGATGTTTGAATATACAATCTAATAAAATGGATCGTATAAGTCTTTAATTTGTACTTCAAACAAAAATGCACATAATATATCATCAATATAATTGCATATTTAATTTATTATTAAAAATAAATAACATTATAAACTGTAATCATAGATAACAGTTTATATTGCAAATTCGTTTTTTCAATAAAATTTATCTTATTTCCAAGAGATCACATTTATTGTACATATTTGTCGTAATTCTTTCAATAATATTATCTTTGTTAAAACTGATAATAATATATATATATATATATATATATATATATATATATATTTGTACAAAACTTGTTTTATCATCACTACAATGTTGCTTAATATATAAAGCACGAAGTAGTTGCAAAATGATGACGTCGATGATTCATTTTACAATAAAAAAAGTTATACGCTACAAGAATTATAGCATAGGAGAAATAGTAGACTCGATAAAAAAAAATTGTTGTTACATATCTACCATTATTTTGACTACTAATGAAAAACAACATAAATACGATGATACATAAAGAGATAAAAAAAAGTCGATAAAAGCTAATGAAATGAAAAAATATTAAAAAAAAAAACAATATAGATATAACATATAACAAAAAAAAACAATATAGAGAAAACAATATATGAAATTAAAAGTAAATTATTGAAGAAATTCTTTTTAAATTGTGTACATAAGCGTAATTGTAATTGTATAGAAATAGCAGCAATAATTTATTTGAATATTATATATAAAACTCGGCGGCTCAAAATAATGTATTGTTTTATACTTTATACTGATTATTATTATTATTATTATTATTATTATTATTATTATTATTATTATTATTATTATTATTATTATTATTATTATTATTATTATTATATTAACTTATTATTTCTCGTTCCGCGATCTCGAACTATTTTACTTTTCATTAAATCAGAACAAAAATAAGAGGATATTTGTCATGCAACACCCCTTTGTTGGATTACATTGAGCGATAAGGGGTCGAGAAAGATGACTGCTAATAAATCTTTTTCTAACTAATAAATGATACCTCGTATAGAATTAATCCTAGGTTCAAGTATTTGCAAAATGTATTTTTTAATTATTTCTGATTTCTATGGTAACACATTGTATACAGTTTAGTGAATAATAATTTTATATAACTATGTAATAAAAGCATGTGTCTAGCAACAATTTAATATTTAAATTAAATGGGCTTTGACTAAATTACCATTTCCGTTTTTGTAGAATTAGATACTTTAATATATTTGAATTGTATTAAAATAAAGTAAAATCTTAAAACTTAAATAAAATTTAAAAACTTTTTTGTAAGAATTTGTTGGAATTTCTTTTATCGTGTGTAATAAAGTATATATACATGTAAAAAAAAATTTTGTTTCTGTTTCATAATGTAAACCATCCAATAATCAAAATGAGATCAATTGATATATCAACCAAATAGAAAATAATTTACAATAAAATGAACGATCTTTTTCATAATAATATTATACTATATTTATACTAGATTAGATACCATACTTGAACAATAAGTTTTGCATTAAAATCTGAAAATTAGCAATTTGTAATATTATATTACATAAATCATGAGCTCATCTCATTTTATTATAATAAAACTTGTGCTTCGGTTAGTTTGCGATGTGCCGTATTCGATAAAAATCCGATATTTCTTAATGAAACTCGTAAGTAGACAAAATTATTTCGGCTTTCATTTTGCAAATATTATTAATTTCATGATAGAAAATTTATAACTTATCAATATTTATATCTTTCATATGTTCATTTTACATATGAAAAAAAATTTTAAGTTTTCTTAAATATTAAAAAATGTTAGTGAAAAAAACAATATACACGAAATTATATAATCTAATTATATATAATATTTTAATCAAAATTTTGAATAGTTCATTCCAATAATTATTTGAATTTTTGGATATGAATATATCAAAAATTGTATATATGGGTATACAATGTCGTATTATCGATATGAAAAGTAAATATTAATAGTATATGTAATTTAAAATATTTTTTTTGTAATAAGAAGAGATACTATGGACATAAATGTTTTGTTAATTTTGAATTACACTGACATATTTGAAATTTTCATCTAATAATTTTCACAAAGTAATTTTATACATTATGCCCTATATACATATCACAATATTTAATGCAAAATTATTAATGCATTAACTGCACTATTTAAGCCTAACTTACATTATAATAGATCGAATCTTTTTATTACTTACAGAATATTGTAGATTGGCACATAAAATATTGATTCTCGCATTATTCATGAAAATTTAATAGTGTTAATAACGTCAATTGTAAAGTTGATAAAATTATTCCATAAATAATAATATGGAAATGATAAAAGTCGGATAAGATTGAAATTTTCTTGCCAAATATAATATTTCACTTGGATTAGCGCCTGAACAAAGACGTTATGCGGAAAGCAGTAAATAGAATAAAATTCAAAACATTTATTACTTAGTCGGCTTAACGATGCTATATATTGTCAAGTAAATTTATTTTAAATTCTACGGTCTCAAACTACCATTCAACTACCTTTTCTTATACTACTTATAAGCGGACATAATATATTGCAGCCGAAAATTAAATAAATATCGCAACGATCATTTGTAATTCTATAACGATCATTATAAAATGATTTATTTAATAAAAGAGGAATTAAAATTAAATGATTGAGTAGAAAATTCATAATGTTAATTTAATTTAACTGTTAATTTAACTGAGCAAATTATTACGATATATGAGAAAGTATCCCACTTGCTTTCATTTATATGCAAATTATCGTATTCCGTTATAATTCTTAATATTATAATTAATTTCTATACAAATAGTTGAAAGATATTTTTTCTTTTATTTCATTTGATTTTATAAAAAACTATTAAGCCTAATGTTTAACGAGAACTGAAGCAAAATACATAAATACCTTTTTGAATAATAAATTAAAATTTATTTATTTGATAATAACGAACACTATTCGTTAAGTAAAAAATAAAATGCAAGTGAATTTATAACTCAAATATTTTTATTATTTTTCACATTTAAATGTTTTTATAACCAAAATCATTAAGAATTCCAATAATTATATGTTAAGAAAGAGAAGAAAAAATTATTGGATATGAATTATTTTTCTAGTAGTAAAAACAATCTCATTTACTGCAAATATATTTTAAACATATGAGAAAGGTTATAATCATTCTCTAATGACGTATTAAAAAATATAAAAAATATAAATATTTATTATCTCTGATATATCTATAAGTTTATTCTTATTTCAAAATTTAATGTTTACAAATATCAAAATCTAGTTTATGATAAATATTTGTTTATTTTGATGTATTTCCTTAAACTTCTGTCAAATATTTTAATATTTAACTAAATAGTTATATATATATATATATATATATATATTGGTTCAATACAATGACTAATAAATTGTCCTTTCATATATAAATTTGAATATTGTGTTTGAAATGCTAATGTATAATGTGGCACTTATATTACTGTTATATTAAATTAAATTTACCATTACAAATTTTATACTTTAAATCTTAAGAAGCATTTAAATGTGTCAAAGTAAAAAAAAATTTTGTTTAAATAAGCTATATTGACTATATGATAAGATTAATTAATATTTCACTATATATATATATATATATAATATATAAATGTTTTATACGTAACTGAAAAAATGTTATAAAAAATAAATATGATTCAATAGAAATGGATAAAATAAATTTAATTGTTGAACGATGGCCTATTTGTAAATGACAGGAAAAGATGACCAATATACAAGCCAAATATAAATTTATAATTACGTAAGAGATTGATTATATATATATATATATATATACGAATAAATCAAGAGAATAGAAAGTATTCAAAAACATCATCGAATATAAAGCGAATCTACTATAATGGGTTTCATGCACGATTTTAAAAGAGCTTAAAAATATTGATGAAAATATCACTATTTATTCATTATATATTTAATCGCTTAAATGACTATTAAAATTAGTTATAAATGATACAATACCTATAAAGTTAATTAATTATATTAAATGGATAAATTATAAATTGATTATTAATAGAATACGATAATGAAATGTTAGACAATATTATAACACTGGGTTAGGCAGATGAACGGAGATAAAAAAAAATAGTTAATAATAGTAATAATAGTTGTCTTTAATGCTGAAATATGAAACCACTTGAGCATCGTCTGGGGTAAGTTTTTAGTATGTGGACGAATCGTGCAACGATACCTCTCAGTGTTATTGTTTATTTAAAATTATGCTATTATTTGTCGAATGATTTAAATAGCAATCGGGTATTCTTGTTTAAACGAAGCCATAGCAACAAGCAATATTGCATGCCGAAGTGAAATATTAAAAAACTTGAAATAAAAAAATAATGAATAACATTTCAAAATGACTTTATGAACATTTTAATACTTTAACATTTTACATATTTTCTGACATTTTTTAGCTGTAATTAAGACTACGCTCTCTCACTTGAATAATAACTTGAACATTAAATTCCGTACTACTTGTCGCTACAGAATTGTTTTATCTTTCTGTGTGAATCTTTTATACAATTTATTTCATATAAATTATCATTGGAAAAGATTGCAGAAAGAAATTGCTTTTTTGCTTTTGTTTATACGTAGTTTTTTTTTTTTTTTTTTTTTTTTTTTTATTTTTTTTTTTTTTTTTTTTTTTTTTTTACATCATGCTATGTTCTATAAAAGTACAAGTACTTAAATGTCAAATAAAAACTATGAGGGAAGAAAATTAATTTTAATTATAAATATTGCGGTAGTCGTGAGTGGTGATTAGTCTACAAAAAAAAAAAAAAAAAAAAATGATAATCCTAAAATTCAAAATTCATTGGAAAATGCCAATAAAAACTCATGATTTTTTTTTCACATTTTCTTATTTAATTTTACTGAAGGGCTATCCTTAAGAAATGTTGATAAACATATAGATTTATGTGAATATTCACTTTATTAGCGTGAAGTTGGTGATTTTCATAATGAGGACACGTGCCCATATTAATGCCTATAACGCGATTCCTGTACACAACTGGTCCTCCATTGTCCCCCTGAAACATCGTATTATTTATATAAAAATAAGAATTTGATGCATCATAAAATGGATATATCAATGATAATTAAATGTATGTAACAAGAAAGTAACAAGGATACTAAGTTATAAGGTATATTAACTCCAATATAAAGTAGCTATAGATATATTGTTTATCAATATTAAATATATTTAAGTCAGTTTGTAGACATTGTCAATTATCTTCAATTATTAATATGTTAACGATTTATCGACTTATCCCGGTTACTTCGTTTTGTTACTTAGTATTTATTGGTTAAGAGGATTCATTAGGGAAAAATGACGTCAAAAAGAAATATAAATTGTTTTTAGCAAATGATAATATTCGTTTCCTATCTAAATATTATACATAAATTAGCACAATATGATTGTGTCATGTTTATCTATAGTAAATATAGCGTAGATGAGAAATATAAAGCTCTGTGAAGATGAAAAAAGAGAGAAGAGCGTGCTCAATATCGTTAGAAAAAAAAGAAACTATAATGAGGAATAGGAAAGGAAAATTAATTCCCAATATGGAAATAAAAATAAGACATAAACAACATGATTCCACTTAATTTTAACAGTTAATTTTAACTTAATTTTAACTATTTAAAACAGTTCGCATATAGTGGAACCAAAAGGATGAAAGAAGAACATAATATAAATATAAAAAAATTAAAAGAAAAAACAATTAAATAGTAGGCTAAATTTACTACTTTAGAATGAAAAAACATTTTTCATTTTTCTACACTTTCTCTAATATTTTGAAATTTTTAATAAGAATAATAATATGAATATTTTCAATATCTTAATAACCGATTATGTGATAATTGTATGCTAATAGCTGATGATTCTATTTAATTGCCGACAAATGCATGACTATATTTTATTTACAATACTTTGTATAAAATGAAAAAATAATATAGAAAAATGATATACAGTCTAGTTAAATTATGCAATTATATTTTTGTTGAATTTCGTATTATTGTATTTAATAATATAAGAATATGCGTAAGCAATTAATACTAACCAACATTACATAAGTAAATGGATTTCCAGCACTGCAGAAAATATTCCCATCGACAATGAACTGACCCGAAACTAATTGATTAACTCTAGCTAGGCAATTTTCATTTGATAAAACCGTGGCAGGACTCGTTTGCAGTATCCTAGGAAACGTTGTATTATTTATTTGACCCCAACCTGCTAGTACAATATTTTGTCCATTAAATTGATTATATGTTTCATATGCTATAACTGCAGGCTGAATAGTTCGATGAACGTGACTTGTTAACTAAAAAAATATTATTAATAGAATTGGATTAAAAATATACCGCTCCTGGATTATGTATCCAGAATGCTGTTACGCAATTTGTCATATATTAGGAATCATTGTCGATTTTCAGAAATTAATAGTCCCAGGTTTGTATTGAAAAATTATTTACCCTCAAAACACAAATATCGTTGGTACTAAAAGTCACGTGTATTCGTGAATACTGAGCCCACTGATTATACGATAACCAAAAGGCTATATGATACTGCGAAAGGCTTAATAAATCGTTTGACCCAATGATAAGTTTAATATTATATTCAAAGTCTTGTTCTAAGCAGTGAGCGGTCGTTATGACGCTCTGCCTATTAGCCAATACCCCAGTGCATATTAAATCCTTGTCATACTCAAAATTTGGAATATCATTTACAATTGCAGCTATAAATGGAAATTCATCAGGTAGTGCGTCCCTAACACTTGATCCAACTAGCGCTTTGACGTTTACAATTTTATCATGGACAATGATAACTACATCAAACAGTTAATAACAGTTATTCACAGAATTAAAATATATATATATATATATATATATATATATATATATTGAAAGAAATATATAATTTGTTCATTTGGCAAATTATTGCAAAATAAAAAAAAAAGATGTATTTATTACTTACAAAGCATTAAGTATTTACCTAAAAATAGATAATTTAACTTCATAGTAAAGATATAAATAATAAAAAAAAAAAAAACAAACAATTTAACTGACTATACAAAATTTAATACATCATACCACTTGGTTATATATACAAATTACCATAAATCGAGCCAAATGTATCCATTTTGAGTTAAAATTTTATATGAAAAAAAAAAAAAAAAACAACATTAAATTTTTTAATATATCTAAAAGAATTTCATTTATTATTTGCAGTTATTATTACGCTGATATGTAGTTTATTATTAAGGTTGTAAAATTTATTGAAAATTATTTAAAAGTTTTGATAATACAACTATATAGTCACTTATAAGACCTTATACATAGTAAAATATTTATTTAACAAAAAATTAATTTCTTTATCGCTCGTATCTGAAATAAACACTTTTTTTTTTTTTTTTTTTTTTTTTTTTTTTATAAATATAACGTCTAAATGTTCGTACATTGTTTTGCAATAATTAGTGTTATGTTCAAATAATCGTGAAACGTATATATTAATTACTATACTCATAAATATTATATACTAAATAATATTACGTTAAGTACATGCAAACTCGTCGTCGGCAAAACAAAAAGTCCTTATAAGAGATAAAAAATACACTTATGTACTTATGAAATTTTACATACTACCATTAAGTGCAAAATATACATTATACTGAATACAAGTCTATGGCATAAGTTTTAAATGAGAAAATTATAAGTATAAACATAAATTTTCAAATAATTTTTATCATTATAATGCAACCGCATATTTTAGTGTAAATTTATGCTATTCAAATTCAAAATTATTTAAGAATATTTAATTATTTGTTCACTTTCTTAACTTATTATGAATGAAATCAAAGCAAAGCTTTTAAGCTAGTGAACCGGAATTTTTAATTAATGAATTCAATTATACAGTATTACCAATATTAATACATTGCACACGTATTTGTGAGATCTATATCCCTGTTGTAACATAATTTTGACTTCAATTACTTTAGTTTGCTTTTCTCCTTATCAATAATAAGCATTCTATAATAAATCCTAGTGTTCCATTGCTTTGGAATTAGATTTTCTATGCTTTAACGACTTTAAAAACTAAAAACAAAAAAACGTGAATTTGTCTGACATTGGAAACAATGACAACTTGGGTAAAGAATAACATAAACTTATCAATATTATGCAAGTGTTTGACACTCGTAAATTATGCTAATAACACCGAACTTTCTCCTTTTAGCGCCTTGTGCATTCCTCCATTTGAAATGTTTATAGTCAATCGGACAAGAAAGTTATTAAAAACCTTAAAAAAAGGATTAAAGTCAAGAGATTTCAATTCAAGAAATATTTAATAATATTATTTTCCATTTGATCGATTCATTTATATCTATTTATATATAATTTTAAATACTATTGAAACAATTCATCCCTATTAATATGTTGATATTAATATGTCTTCTTTAATTAAAACTTCGTGTGAACATATCCTGTTGTATATTTATTACCCACATTTTTTTTTTTTTTTTTTTTTTTAATTGAATGCAATATAATTTCAATATGTCCATATATGCATATGTGAATGCATGCAAAGCGTGTGCATAAATTGTTTTTTTTTTCAATTTTTTTTTCTACAAATTTTTCAAAAAGATTTTAACTAATACTTTACATAAATATATACAAAGTATCGTAGAAATTATAAATTGCAAAACTATAATAGTTTTAATTATATTATTGATATTAAAAAGTAAAATAAATTATACAAAATCTAGGTTCATAATGTTCGACAAGCAAATATTTCTAAACTAAACGTATATTTTTTCATACCTTGTCTGTCAAAATATGTAAATTTAATTAAAAAATAATTGTGCTATGGATTATCATATACAATCTCAAATTGATATTACTGATAATTTATATATCATAGCCATAAATATATCAATGATAATTGCCATTGTAGGAATATTTAAAATGCAAATTCATCATGAAGACTATTGAATTTGAAAAACTTTTCTAAAATCAGGTCGTAGTTAGTCTTCGTGAGAAGTCATTACAAAAAATCAAAATGATTAGAATTCAATTAAAAGTTAAAATTAATCTACCTATACAGTACATCAAAATATTTATTCTTCATTAGAAACTGGACCATTTAGTGTATTAATAATTATAACTTCATTCTTATAAATAACCGGTTTGCCACTGTCTCCCTAAAAACTATAATATCTATTTTGAAATCTCCATTCGTGCCTAAATAAACTAATATTCCAGATATATTTACAAGATGCTAGTCAAAAAGGTATCTTAAACGAAAAACAATGAAAAAATAAAACAAAAAATATAATATTTTCTTTAACACTATCCTAATCAAATATTGAATTTAATAATCGTGATTAATAGTAATAAAAAAATCTTTCATCTGTAACTATTTTTAAAAAGCATTCGAATAAAAAACTGTAATTCCTGCTCAATGTCAAAATTCAATATTATGCAGTTGATAAAAATTATTTTTATGACTTTGTTCAAACGAAAGCACTTCTCGAACAATATATTAGGATATTTTTATGAAAATTACCAAATCCTTGTTTGGTAGAGAAAAAGAACTTTGTATAATATAAACATAATTTTTATAAGAAAATATAGCGTAAATAATACATTTTAGATGACTTTTAGACAAGGAATTCTAATATTATAAGTATTCTTTTTTAAGAACCAAATGAATTTTTTTTTTTTTACGAATTTAGACAAGCATAAAACACTTTTATGTCTTTTTTTTTTGTTTTTGGTTTTTTTTTTAAAACTTACCAGTAATAGAAATCATTTATTCTAATGCGAAAGGGCATTCTTGAAAAAATTATAAATCACAAATTTGTAATATAAAATCCTAGGATTTTAAATTATATTGACAAATGCCATTTCCTAACTATAAATGATTTAATTATTTATTCTTTGTTTTATATAGGCATTGATAGATATTAATATTACATTTTAATCATTATATTTATGAATCCGTAGGACCTAAAAGAAATCTCGAAATGCAATACTTCTATAAATAAATAAATATGTGCTAATTATAATTTAAAGCACATATTTGGAACAAACGCAATAAGATATATAAGTGTTTTTTTATTTTTTATTAAATGATTATCAAAATACTACTAGAATGAAGGTTAAAAATAGATAAAGAAAAAAAAATGTTTAAACATCTATGGCAGTCAAGTTTTTCAACTTTATTGTTAAAAAAAAATTGTGTTAAAAAACAATTCAGGTTTTTAAATTACTTTTATATAAAATTATTTTTCACAGTGAATTTTTAATTATAAAATTATATATTTTTTAACCTTGAAGATTTATAAGTGCTTATTGTTGTTATCTACTCGTTATTGTTCTAAATCAAAATTTCTACTGATATTTTATAAAGTAACAAAAATCATGAATTTTACTTATCAATATAATTTATTTATCTTACTTATTCTTAAAACATTTTAGTATTGTCATTTTTTTTTATATTAATATTTTATTGTAAATGAAAAAATATTAAAAATTAGATAATTTATATTCTAATTGAATATTGGACATTTAAATAATATTATTTCAAAAAAAATAAATCATGAAAATAATATAACACGTTTATCTATTATTATTTATTATAAATTCATATGTATTTTTATATTTCATGAAAAATAAATACTTTATAATAACATTTAAAAATATAAAGTAATAAAAGCATTATTAAATATTTATATTGATATTTTCATTTTTAGAACATACATTATTATACGCAACACATTCAATACTTACAGGCATCGATAAAATAGAATTTTTATATATTACATAGAAAATTACGATCAAGTCTATATATTCTTATTCACTAAGAGCTTTAATATAATTTTAACAATGTATATGTGTCATAATTTTCAGTATTGCACTATAAAGTTGTGCAAAAAATGAATAATCATTTATCATGCCCCAGCCTAACACTACAATCTCTTGGAATAACAGGTGATGGTATAATTGAAATGATAATTCCATAATGCAACCTACATTCATTTTTTCAATAATTCAAAACTAAAATATATTTCTTCTTCATATATATAATCAGTCAGGTTAATTACATCAATTTTTAAAAATATTTCCAGATATATTTCATTCATGCATACAAATCAATTTTTCCTTTATCATTTTAATATATCAAATAGAAAATATGTATAAGGATTAAGATTCGTATGCACATTAAATTTTATAACGATGAAATCCTTGCTGTGTAAAAGGACTTGTCCCTGAATTAATACCTATAATCTTATTCATATACAAAATTGGTCCTCCACTATCGGTCTGAAAAATTGAAATATATGATATATCAATGATAAATATGGGATCGCGTTGAAAGAAAGTTATTGAATTTTCGAGAGAATATTGAAGAGAAATTGTTCATAAATATTCTTATGAAATTTTTGAAACATATATGCAAAAATATTTATACTGCTTTTAAATAAATTTAAGCGTTTTCAGAATTTAAGTTTTATTTTATAATTATTTTAATCAACAATTTTCTGCAAAGATGTGTTCACACATCGTTTAAATTCCAATAAGATTTTAATAATTAACGTCGATGCATAGTTTTTTATTTACTTAGAAACAATAATGATCAAAAGCACGCTCGATCATAAAAAATCTAGTAATTGTTATTTAAAAATTCTCAAAAAAGTAATATTTTTACTATACAGAATTATTTTACATGCAAATTATTTAGAAAATAATAAATTTAGAAGATATAAAAAAATCTGAAATGTTTAAAAGGTTTTTGCATTATGCATAATTTTAACGTTAAAATGAAGTTTTGCAATTATTAATATAAATGCTCAAATTCAATAATAATTTTCTTGCAAATTACGTTATAAAAGAATCTGTTAGGCAATTAATAGATATTTTTGTTTCTCAATATATTAATTATACTTTTCACATTTAGGCAATTTATTTCTTCCTTCGATGTACTTAAAATTGTAAATCTAAATTTTAATGCTCAACTATTAGGTCATGTAAGTTAACATTCATTTAAACTTGGAAATACCTAGCGTAAATGAAATAAATAGATATTCCCATAAAAAAATATTCAAAATTCAAATATATAACTCTGTATACTAATGAAATAAAGCGTATGCATTCACATTCCAGAATTCAATATTTGAATCTGTAATTTTATGAACATACTGCTTTTATATAAAATGAATGTAAGAAAAAAATGTTTCCATTCTCTTAAAATTACAACCTACAAAATTTAATCGATTATTTATTGATTTGTATTGAACTTTAATTTATAATATAATAATTTTAAAATAATTCATATAATCGGTTGCATAAATTTTATTGATTATATTATGATATGCAAAAATATTTTATATTCACCCCCCATTAATAAAATATGTGAATCTCCAATACTACACAACAAATATCGATCAAATTTCAAATATTCTGCACTGAGCGCATGAATTCGTTCGACACACTTTTTATTTGTTATAATTTTTAGTTTAGCGGTTTGAAGTATCCTAGGGTATGTGCCATTGTTCACTACACCCCATCCCGCTGTTACAATAGATTTCCATTTCAGATCTTTATAGGATAAATATAATAACATTGTAGGATGTATTCCATCAAGCACGGCATTTCTTAGCTAAAAATATTTAAATAAAAATAAATAAATAGATAAAACGCTCTAATTGTTTATTAAAAAAAAAAAAAAAAAAAGCCAATTTTCCTTAAAAGTTACTATAATTTTATATAACTGAATAAAGTTTATGTGTCAATTAAATATTCGTCGTCAATTAATAAAATATTAAAAATAAAAAATCTTAGAAATAATTTACCCTTAATAATAAAATATCATTTTCGGCAAAGATTAATTTCGAGGCTAAATTAACTTCCTCCCACTGATCATATGATATCCACCAAGCAGCGTAATATTTCTTAACGGAATTTAAATCAATCGATCCAATGATTAGTCCAACGCCATTTGCCACTTCATCGTGCATGCAATGCTCAGCAGTTAAAATAACTTTATTCGAGATCAGTGATGCTGTGCATATTATATCTCTGCATGGCATGACATCTCGATTACGCCTTATAATTGCTACAATAAATGGAAATTCATTTTCTTTTGCTTCTCTGATCTTTTGTCCCATCAATGCTTTAGCATTTTTAACACACATTTATGAATAAAATCAACTAAATAAAATATATATTTTAAAGTGTATAAATGTACTTAATAAAGATATTAATTTAACTGTCTTAAATATTATAGAGAAAAAAAATAGTGATAAATACTTATTTCTTACAAAACATTAAGTACTTTACGAGAAATAAAAAAGTTTTTAAACTCATAATGTAAACAGAAAAATCGGTATAATCAATTATCGAAAAATGACGTTACATAAGATTTTAAACAACTCGCATTAATAATTTATAAATATATATTAAATAAAAAGTTTTTTAATTATTAGTTATTATTCTATTTTGCTCAATGTATCTGTTATAACATTTCTTTTAAAATATATATATTAAAAAGATCGATTTTCCCATTAAATGGTAATCATTTTATAATAAAACTCTAAATATATATTCTTACACAATTTTAATGTAGTATAATGTTAAATTCATAAAATATATTAAAAATAATAATTATTGTAGATATATTGAGTTACCAACTGATGCATATTTTCAATTATAATTATAAAAAACAATGATTAAAATAATTTGTCCATAAGTAATTAATGTTTTTATGTGATAGCAGAAACAAACTTTTTCTTTTGTAAATGTAATGCAACAAAGACTTGAATACTTTCTAAATAGATTAAAAGTAGCGTTAAAGGATTGTAAAAAGTTTAATTGCATCCACGCATTAATTTCCACACACACACACACACACACACACACACACACATACACACAAATAATATAATGAGTAAAAATATACTCATATATGTGTATATTTATCATGTGTATATTTAATTGTTATGGTTATGGTTAACTTGTTTATGGAATTATATAATGAATAATGAAAGAATTTTAGCATATAATGAAAGAATTTTCGCAACTTTCATACAATCTTTACATGATTACTACTAGCATATCGGTTTTCTCCTTTGTACGTTTTGTACTTAAGAATTGTGTTATATTATCTTATAAACATAAATTTTCAGATAAATTCATAATTTTCATGTATTTGTATATTTAAATTTTAATTTATTGTATATTAAAATTATTATTTTAAAAATATTTTATTACTCATATATTTATTAGATAAACTAAAAGATTAGATAAACTAAAATTTTCCTTTCAGTAAAAGTTTATGAATAATAAGCTTTAATTTTAATATTTAATTAAATACAGAGAATACTTCAAACTTACTCCTTATAAATATTACTATAAAAATACTAATACATTCAAAGATTTATTTCACATAAATTCAGTTTCAATATTCCCTGTAGGATTCATCGTACAAACATCAATACTATTTGAAATGATATTAACATGTTTTTGCCTAAAAACTTATACTCTACACTTTTAATAAAAATAATGTATATAGTTTTCTTTAAAATTATCATTTATATGTAAACATGATTATATAAGAATTATTTTATAGTTTTTTTTTTTTTTTTTTGTGAAATCGTTTGCATAATATTATTTACAATATATAATGATTTTAACTTTAAATAATTTGCTATTTACATCAATGTAGTTCTATTAATATTTTATCTGAATTAAATTTTAATAATTTTATGAAATTTTATGAAAATCTATTAATCCCAGTTTATTGTTAAGAATTAAAAATGCACTTGCATCAATTGCAATAATGTAATTTAATCGGTATTTTGGATTTAAACATTAATAAATAATTTGCGAAGTATTATTAGAAAGTAACAATAAGTTGGCTTTAAAATGTTTAATGTTTATTATAATAATCGAACAATTTATGAATGGAACAGAAAAAAAAGAAATTCTTTATCCGTTTAAAAATACGTATTGAAGTTTGCGAATGAAAGAATGATTGCAAATTCATAATTCATTTTACAAATATATATATATATATATATATATATATATATATATATACATATATTTATATTCATATTTTACTCGATATTTGCAATGCATATTATCAATTTAAGAGTAATTTAATACAGATATTATAAATTTTTTATAATATTGAAGAGTCGTATGGATGTTGACTTTATCAGGATGGAAATGTTGTTGAGCCAATGGACACGTCCCCATGTTAATAGCTACAATCTTGTGACCATATAAAAGTGGTCCGCCACTGTCCCCCTATAAAAATTATATTAAAAAAATGTATGCTAATAAATAATGACGTTGGCGGTGTTATCTTGTCCAACAAAAATATTTCAGTTTTTTAAAACACGAATAACAGTTCGATATAAAAATATAAAGTATAGTTTAACTAATAAATATTAAGTTGTTTGTAAAAAAAAAAAAAGAAAAAAAAAATTGATGATATATTGACGAAATTGATGATAAAAAATAATATTTACTATTCTTACAATCGATTTTAAGAAGTATAGGGTAAAAATAATGTACATAATGTTTTTCCTAATTAATTTCTGAAAATAGTAACTGTATAATATTTCAGCATTTAACAGAGAATGAAACGGAATTTAACTTTCAAAATGTCATATAATTTAAAATTTTTTCAAAAATAAAATATTCATGTTATATGATTGGTGTGGTGCATTTGTTAAAACTATCCGCAATTAATATTCATACATTAATATCCTAAATTAATAATAATGTTGTAATTACTTTTACAACTTAAATTTATTTAATGAGAAGGATTTTCTTTTATTTCAATTAATGCTAAAATGAAACGTCAAATTAGAACTAAATTTGACAGTATAAAATATATTAAAAAAATTTTTTAATCACAACAAATTTTATAAAATAATTAAAAAAATGAATAAAATATACATAATAAAGCGAAAGTCGCTATTAAAAAATAAATGGCTATTTTTATAAATTTCTATAAAAAGAAAAAAATTATAATAAAACAATTTAAAGGGTAAAAAAGGAAAATTCATATTCACCCCCATTATTGTTACAAATGGTGTTGCGATGGTGCAAAGAACATTTTTGTCAACTTCTACAGCGGATCCATCAAGAGTGCTGACTCTATGTTCGCATTCATCATTTGTTATAATTTTCAGTTTAGCGGTTTGAAGCATCCTAGGGTATGTGCCATTGTTTACTTCACCCCATCCCGCTGTTATGACAGATTTCTCTTTCAGATCAATATAAGATAAATACAATAACTTTGCAGGATTTATGCCTTCAGTTACGGAATGCGTTAACTAGAAGATTTCAATGTTTATATATTTAACCTACATTCGTTTTTAAATTATAAACAAATAATGTTAAATATAAAGTAATATATATATATATATATATATATATATATATATATTCGTTAATTATATTATTAATCATACATTCCAAATTCAGTATATCCAAATTAATAGAATTTTAACTTAAAAATTCACAGTCCCTATAATAAACAATTAGAGATAATATCCTACTGGTGGTAATTTACCCTTAATAATAAAATATCATTTTCGGCAAAGATTAATTTCGAGGCTAAATTAACTTCCTCCCACTGATCATATGATATCCACCAAGCAGCGTAATATTTCTTAACGGAATTTAAATCAATCGATCCAATGATTAGTCCAACGCCATTTGCCACTTCATCGTGCATGCAATGCTCAGCAGTTAAAATATCTTTATTCGAGATCAGTGATGCTGTGCATATTATATCTCTGCATGGCATGACATCTCGATTACGCCTTATAATTGCTACAATAAATGGAAATTCATTTTCTTTTGCTTCTCTGATCTTGTGTCCCATCAATGCTTGAACATTTGCAATATTGTTATAGACGATATAACCTTAATAATTTACAATTGTATTAAAATTCTGCACATGACTTAATAACGATTTATTAACGATTGATTCTGTAAATTAATGAAAAAATAAATAAGATATATTACTTACAAAACATTGCATATTGAATGGAATGAATACTATTTCTGAACCGCATACTGAAAAAAAAACAAACAATAATATATGACATTTGTTAAAAAAAAATAAAATTATGAAATGCTATGAAAATTATTATTATTATTAATTTAAAAATTATATATATTTATTATAAAAGCCAAAAAAGAAAAAAGAATTTTATTATATAATTAAATTTTTCTAAAAGGAAAAATGTAAGTAAGCAAATTAACGTAATCTATATAAGCAAGTCTAAAATGTATTAATTTTTAAGTAATAATTGATAAAATTAAATTTCTAATGCAAAGAAAAGACTATAAATAAAATAACATCATACACAATAATAATGCATATTATTATAAGATTTAATCTTGTAATGTATTATTGATTTGAAATTTGAACAAAAATTTAATGCGAATGTAAAGATTAATGTAAATAATCATAGGAATTCGATATCACAAAATATGTTTTTCAAATTGATAAACATTTACGATAAATTAAAAATTATTGCTAAATGAAAATTGAATAATTTTATATAATCAAAGTGCTAATGTATATTTAAATATAAGTTGCTGTTTATAAATGTTTTTATAAATCTTCTAAAGTTTAAAATCCTTTAGAATTTTATAAATAAATTAATTAGACTTATGTGTATGTACTTCATTTTTGGTTAAAATAATATTTTCATAAATTACAGAAATTTTGAATTAAATATTATTATCCAAAACTTAATTGTTATATATGTACAAGCTACTTATAAATTTTCTACTAAAATTAATGTACAATTTTAAATGTTTATATATTGGAAAAAAATATGAGATTTCATAAATGTATTGAAAAAATATTTTTTTATTTCAAAAATAAAATTATAATTATCAACAATTTTTTGCCTGATACATAAAATATTGATTTATGTTACTATTTTATGTAAAACATATTATTAATAAACTGTTATTTTGTATTTCCGATTTATATATGATTTGTTTAAAAATATATATTATACATAGGAAGAGAACATATATTTCAATATCATAAGATTGGTTTTAATTATTAATTATAACTCATACATTCGATCTCCATACGATCGCAAATACACAATTGCAATTTTTAATACAACATATTTACAAGCTGAAATTCCAAAAAATTTAAGACTTTTATTAAAATATTTGAATGAATAAAATGAAATTAAAAATAATTGAAGTAATTAGATGTAAATACGTAGCTTTTATAAGGATTCCAAGAAAGTTAAGGATAACTGGAAAAAAATTTTTTATTTCAATATTAATTGTGATTAACTATGAAATAGTTAATTTTAATCATTAATATACAAAATACCAAGAAATACCGTTACATATAAGATATGATATTCAACAAAAAATCATTATAATGTTTGAGATTGCAGTGAACGTTTATTTTGTCAGGATGAAAGCTTTGTTGAGGAAGTGGACCTGTGCCTGTATTAATGCCTACGATTTTATTCTTGTACAAAAGTGGCCCACCACTGTCTCCCTGAGAAATAAAAATATATTATATATATGTTATAAAATACTCAATGAGAAAATTCATTTAAATTAAAAAAAATCTTGATTAAAAAATATACGTATTTAACGTGAAGAAGTATTAATGAAAGAAGCATTGGAAATTATAATTGAATCCGAAGTATTTAATATTGATGTACGAATGAAGATAAAATTTTTTTCAGGCATAATATTTAATAGTTTAAATTAAATTATTTATAAATAATGTTAGCAATATATTTACAGATAATGTTTTAAAATAATTATTTTCAATAAAAATTAAACTACTTTTAGTATGTAAAATAAAAAATAATTTTAATTTATAATTAATTTTATTATATATATTTTTTTTTTTACATAACAATGATTATATGAGTGAAATTAAATGAGTGTTAGAAAATAGTATATTTTTCTCTATGATATCTCACCAAAATAAATAAACATATTATTATTATTATATTCTTACAAATGCATGTACAATTAAAGGATAATATTTGTATATATCCTTAAAAGTTTCACAAGGACTAATCGGTTAATATACAATGTACAATATTACGTATGAAATTATGTAATCATTATTACAATTATATAAACGAAAGTTTATTTTAAATTAAGATAACAACAGCCTATAACAGGTAAAGCCAATGAAGACTTGTATGAATGTAATATCTAAATTAATAAATATAAATTATCCCCTTTTAAAACATTTTATCAATAATACAACTTCTCTTAACTAGTAATACTCAATTAAAATTTTACTAAATTCCGTAAAGTTTTAGAATTGTTTTCGAAACATTAAATAATAATTTTCTAATGTGATTCATTATAAAATTTCCATATCCATTCTGCTTTATATAACAAGTAAAAACAATTTTTCTATTGATATTTGCCAACTTTACAATATATATATATATATATATATATATATATATATATATATATATAAATTATATAAAAATTTAACTTTATTTAAGTTTGCTCATTACTTCTGCAGTCAGAAAATAACTACATTAAAATAATAAAATATATTGATTCGATAAAATTTCAATTGTAAACATTCATATTTTCTTTAAATTCAAAAGCTGTACAAAAGACAAAAATAATTACATGTATTACTTAAATATTATATGTAAAACTTTATGAAAATAATATATGATTTAATATGAAAAACTATTTACAGATTGATGCTTTAAACAATAAAAGAAATAAATAATTTGATATTTCTAAAATAAAATGACGCAATTTTTGATAAATAAAAGTTTGTTGAGGCAATTTTTTAAACAATCATAAATTATCACATTCACGTCGATATATTGTGTAAGAACACATCAAACTTTAGATTATAATTTAGATATTTCGGTTCTTTTTAAACTTTTTCTAATTATTGATTATAACACCAAAAGTTCTATAAGAAAGAAAAATTTCAATGACTAACTTTTTTTAATGATAATATAAAAATATTAATTTCTTTACATTATCTGAATGAATGACATAAAGATCATAATTACATGTTCAATTATTATAAAACTTTTTCCAATGGTTTCTTTAAAGCAGTGGAAATAACTTTCAGTGTAAAACAAATTATTTCAATATTTCATTAAGACAGATATTTTTAGTTTGCATTTTTAATATTCGTATGTGTATATTGTAATATTTATTACGAATTTTTATAATGAAAAAATTAGATAAAAATATGCTTTTTTTTATTGTAACTAATAATAATAAAATTATATAAATTATAATAAAAACCTTTATTTAGATACATATACCCTATGTAAAATATTTAATACTTACCCTCATTAGTAATGCAAAAGGATCTCCGACTGTACATATTAGATTTTCATTGATTTTAAAATTCTCACCACTGAGAGCACGAGCTCGCAGTGCGCAATCCGTTTTCGTTAAAACTTTTAAATTAACTGCATGCAATAACCGAGGAAACGAGCCATTATTTATTTCGCCCCATCCTACTGTAACAACGTCTTTGTTCCTCAGTTCGCGATATGATAGAAAGGATAAAATCCCATAAGGAATTCGGTCGCGAATAATAGTTGACAACTGAAAAAGTTTTAGCTTGTGTATAAAAATAATATCAAACACTATCATTCTATGGTTTTTAAATTTCAATGAATATTTTATAATCGAAGTGTATAACTCATTTATTAAAGCTGTAAATTTATTAAAATTGATAACTTATATACGTTTATAACAGCAATATCATTGCTATAAATTGTGGTGCGTGAAGATGGAAGCTTAGACCATTGATTAAAAGATATCCACCAAGCTGGATAATATCTGGAAGGCGATTCCAAATCATTTGATCCAACAATTATTATAAGACCATTGACTACTTCATTTGTCAAACAATGCTCAGCAGTTAAAATATTTTTATCCGTTATTAGCGATGCTGTGCATACGGTGTCTCTTTCTGTTATGAAATCTCGATTACGCCTTATAATTCCTGCTATAAATGGAAATTCAATTGATGAGGGTCGTCGAATATTATGTCCCATCAATGTTTTAGCGTTCGACACATTATTACAAACAATATTACCTGCCGAATTTTAAATAAAAAGGCACGTATAACGGTAGCAAACATTTTTATTTATTTATTTTTTTAATTTATTTATATTAACATTATTATTCTTAACTTACACAAGAGAGTATAGTGATAAAATAAGAGGATATTTCTTAACCGTGAAATAAAAGAATATTTAAATGTTAACATTGAAAATATAATTATGTGAAAAATAAATTATATTAAAACTTATAGAAACGTAAATAATTTCTTATCAAATTATTGTATTAATATTGTATGTTATCATAAATAATTCGTTATATGGATGTTAACTTTTTTTTTTAAATTACATTAAACGTAACTACACAATTTTATAAGCAATAAAAAAATTTGCATTACTTTATATTCGAAAACAGTTAAATTTTTAAAATAATTTTTATTAGTTCGTTCGACTTGAAAATAGGCAAAAAATATCATAAATTAATAATAATAATCGTTAGTGCTAATCTTAAATAATATAACGATTAAAATATACGATATTTATTTATTCAAGAGTTTTATAATAATTATTCTAAATTAATTCAATAAAATTAAAATAACAAATTGAGATATTCTGAACTCTTATGAAGTAACTTTAAGACCCACATTTTTATTTAAGTAAATGAGGATTTTTAATATATAAACTTCCCTTTCCATAAATTCCAAAATAATAAAAACAAAGTATATTTCCATATATCATTTAATATTACAATTGAAATTTTATCTAAAATCAATTAAATAATTAGATTTTATTGTTTTTAACGATTTCATATGAAAGAATAAAAAATAAAAAGAACTTCTATTTTATTTGCATAAAAGCCATCTATTCCAAGATAAAAATATTATAATAATTATTGAAAATCATTAGAAATCCTCTAATAATATATTACGTTTAAAATTATCCTTAATTTACATATAGACGATATGTATATATAAAGCGTGCTTTTATAATATTTGCATTAATATTTTCTTAACAAAGCTCGCATAAATATAAAAATAAAGGTTTTTGAAGGAAAAGAAAACATGAAAATTGTCAGTAATAAGAAATTTCCAGCCGAGTGAGCAGCTAATCAAAACTATATAATCATAAACTTGACTACATCGTCTAGAATTTAAAATGGTTACTTCTTCACGATAATAGTATGATTTATATAATAAAATAATTAATAAAATCTTTACAACAATAAATTACTTCTGCTCTGCTGTTGGATTGATAATTTATTTATAATCATAAGCGTATATTTATTGTAAAATTAAGATTAAGGTAAATCAAATGTAGACTATTTTAATTAATGGCAATAAATTCATTAACAAATGAGAGTACAAATTTAATTAAATTAATAGAATTTTCTACACTAAAAAAACATGTTTGCAATCAAATGAATGTTAAAGAAGGCTCCCATACAGCAGAAAAATTAGTATAAATCATTGTATCCTCGATGGACAAAATTATGATTCATTCAAACCCAAAGCCTGTGTGTATCATAAAAAAAAAAACACTTATGAATAATAAAGTGATATTTAATTTAATTTTACAATAAAATTATCGATAGATATATCAATAGATAGATCTGAATATAAGCTTATATTGGAGTTAATTTAGTTCTATATTACGTAATTTTTCTATCGTAATGGTTGATCGTACAGTCGTAGAATATTATCTATTAGGATTACTTAAAGATTCCAGCATTTGCTCCAAGTCCGCGTAAATAATATTTTAATACTAACGAGTGTGTGCACATATATATTTTACGCCATACGCATAATGAAATTTATTCTCAGTTAATGTGCAATAGTTACTAATAAGAAAACAGATCATATAAATTGCAAATAAAAATAAAAGTTTATTTAGACAAACCATACGATAAATACGAATAAATTAATAAATTAATATTAATAACGTAATTCTTGTAAAATCAATTTACATGTAATAAACTTATATTATTTAAACAACTCAAACTTGGTAAAAAAAATAACAAATTATTAACAAATTATACATTTTATTAAGGATGTCTTTATAAAAAAAAAAAAAAAAAAAACATCATCGTTTAGTTTTTCGTAAAAATAAAAAAAACTAATGGACGCATTTGTGATCGTTGATTTTTGTTTTAGATCAAAGAAACTATCAAAATTAATATTACTAGATTATTTTAACGAATTATGCAAAATAAATCGCAAAATAAATGAAAAATAAATTTTCCGAAGGATTGTGCATGAATTGTGAACAATAAATTAAAATATAGTATGATTAATTTGAAAATTTTTTATAACAAATTTATTAGAAAATTTAACGGAAAATATCTCCGTAAAATGATCTGCAGGTAATATGAAAGTTCTTACACAAGATTACTTTCTTAAATTTAATAAACAATTTTTTTTGAAATAGCAAAAACATTGTATTCATCCATACATGGCGCATAGTAGCGCAATCCATGTAATGGTGTAGTGGTGTAATGGTGTAATCCATACTTACACTAAAAATTAGCCTTCATACGTTTAAGAAATATAAAAATTATCTTGACGCATCGATATGGCTCGTCGACATAAGCATTAACATACACACGATTGTCCACTTGCTTAAATCACGTTCGTTTGTTCAATGAACTTATCCGATGGTGCTAATTTCTTAACGAAATTGTAATTTTTATTTTTCTAGTCGAGATTTATGTAGTCCGTGCAAATAATATTGACCGATCACTTTTTGTTTAGTGATTTGCGCTGTTTAGTCGCTTGAATGGAATAGGATGCCACTCAGCTACGTGAATTTACTTCTTTTGTATGAAAAATTATGTAATCACAGTGTGGTCCGCTGCACTTTCATATGTAATGAAGTAACTGTACTTAAATAATTTATTAAACTTACGTGGGTGACTGATCGCAATGATTTCTAGCGATGAAAATAATAAAGAGATTTATTCGTTCTAGTTCGAGCCATTCTAAAGGTATAATAACATTTCATTCATGAAGAATAAAATTGACGATTCATCTATGCGATGCGTTAAAGTGGAGTTCATTTATTATTAATTCTAATCTTTAATATTTTTATCGATATTAATTAATTATAATGAGTTTATTACTTTTATTCGATTAATTATTTTTTTTTTTTATTTTTATTTTTAATTTTTGTAACTTTTTTGATAATGATCAAAAGTCTACATAATTAATATACGCTTATCAATTACTTACTATATTTTACAGTAAACAATGTATTGACATTTATATAAATTACATTTATAATTTGATAATTAATTTATTAAAAAAAATTTTTTATTTTATTAATTTCAGCATTATCATACAATACATGAATGTAAATCAAATCTCGAAATTTCAAATATAATTAATATTGTATAAGAATTGATTTATAATAAAGATTGAATAATATTGATAGAATATGTAAACTTTAGCGATCATATTTATCTTATCTATTTCTATCAATTTTTAATTATTCGTAACGTAATTAATCTCATTTTAGGTCAATCAAAAAATACTCGATAGATAAAAATATTCAGGTGGCATATTTTAGATTACAAATTGCGATATGAAACTGTTAATTATTGAATTTTTGTAAAATGAAAACTAGGTAAAATTGTTTGAAATAACTTATAATTTGACCAAATTAATTGTTTATCTTATCACAAATAAGGAAAACTTGCTGAAATTACATTACAACGACAGAGAGCAGATTGATACTGTTTCAGCAAATGCATAATCGAGTGATTAAAAAAAAAAAAAATTAATTAAAAAAAAAAAACTCCATTTCTTAAGAAATCATATATTTTCTTTTTTCATAATTCCGATACTTTAAAGCTTCAAAAAATATATAATTAGATTCAGTGGATACATTGTTGTAGTTAGAATAATAGGAAATCAAAACACAATTACAGGAAGTATGAAGCATACAATATTAAAATATTTAAAATACTTTATTGCAATTGCTCGATTTATTATCAGTTTATTTGCGAAAAATAAATAATTCATATTAATATATTAAGTACAGAAATACATAAAATATAGATGTATAAATAAACAATAATGAAATGTAAATAAATAAATCAGGATATAATTGAGAGTAAATATGTTCATAATTGCATCTATTTAGTATTATTAATTATTTGACATTGGTAGCATTATAAAAGCATTAATGATTAATATTTCAAAGGTATTGATTGAATAAAATTGTAGTCAAAGACGAAAATAACTTTTGTCCTCCTCCTCTCCTCTTCGCCAAAACATAGCCAACTAATTTTTATTACCTTAAAAATCTTCATATTTTTTATTGATTCTTATTTATAGTATGAACATTTTACTTTAAGAAAAAGCACTTTTTTCCGTATCATTTTTTGTTGCACTTTTTGTTTTTGTAAAGTAATTAGTACAAAACTTAGCAATGATAGCAAACATGGATAATCCTTAAATGGAATGGAAATTTATGAAATTTAAATCGAAATGTATTCTCGGGTTTAAAAATAATGCGTTGTATAATAAAAAGCATTTTAATGAACTATTGGAGATCTTTTGAAATACAAATTGACTCCGTTAAGTGGAGCCGTAAATATACTACGCTTGTTTACTTCACATTTATAATTTGAATTTATCGACACTTCGTATTCTCTTAAAATTGTTATCAATCCAACCATACTCATTAATATACCAGTACGCATACCTGTAGCAGAAAATTAAGTTTATTTAAAATAAATTATCGACAAACTTGTTATTAATTGTTATATATAACTTTGTCATTACCTATACACGTTCTTGGTCCAATTCCAAAAGGTATGTAAGTACCTGGTGTCATATCGGATATCCGTTCGTCGGAAAATCGGTCAGGATCATATTTAAATGGATTAGTAAAATATTTAGGATCTGTGTGTAATCCAATTACACTAGCAAAAACAGCGGTTTCTTTGTCGAGGACGATATCAGTTTCAGGTATCTGTTTAAATAAAAGGATACGATTTATTCATTATAATTTCACTTTTATTATAAATCATTAAAATTATTTGATAAACATATACATAAATATAGTGGAAATAATTGTAAATATCTTTAATATTATAATATATATATATATATATATATATATATATATATATATATATATATATATATATATATATATATCATATAATATATATCATATAATATATCTCATATAACATATCTAATAGATATTAAAACTATTAGAAGTATGCACAATTAAGCCTGAAGAAATTATATCAAATAATATATGTCATGCAATTTAATTATGAGTTTGGTAAAAATGCAGAGTTTATCAAATTTTCTCATTTTCAATCTACTAAAATAATATAAATACAATACAATGGCATATTAAAATATTTTTAATTAAATATTTAGATATCTAAATACTAACCTTATAATCCTCAACGGAGATTCGATCGATCAATGGAACAGGTGGATACAGTCTAAGCGTCTCCGATACAACTTGATTTACATATTTCATTTCAGAAATGTGTTCATAATTGAGTTTATCGTCACCAATTTTTTTTTTAATTTCTTCACGTATTTTTGCTTGTAAACTCGGTTGCATTGCGAGTTCATAGAGTGCAAAAGATATTGTCACTGAACTTGTCTCAAGACCAGCCACTAAAATTATCGCTGACTGAGCCAAAAGTTCATCATCTTCAAATTCTGGTATAAGTTAAAAGATTTTAATATATTTAAGGCGAGGGATTTTTCATTTAATTAATATTAAATAAATCATGAACTTTTGATATTCTATATTCGTTTGTAGATAATATATTCTTAATTAAATTATTACCTCATTTATATTGACATTAAATAGAAGTAATAATTTTAAATGTTTGTTTATTACTTTCTAAATTAATTAATTCACTATATCGTCTTAATAGCAATGGAGAGTTGATTTATGTATTAAAGGCAAACTGGGAAGAACAAGTTTGCATTATAAAATATTAAATTTCCGTTCCTATGTAGAAATATTCGAGCTTGATTCAAAATGTTTTTTTAACACAGCAAAATTTAAACAATTTTTTAAAATCTTTAATATATCAAAAAATAATTGCTAGTAAAATAGATATTAGCGGGAATTAAATTTCGCAAATAAAATATTTCTATCACTTACACAACTTATCATTCTATCATTGTTACGTAATGTTCGTGTAACTTTGTTAATAAAATCCAAACTTACCAAAATCTGGATTTTTTTCTTTTTTTATATCCAGCATTACATCTATCACATCACCCCTTTTATATCCTGACTCCTCCCGGTTCTTCATGGATAGGCTAAATATTTTTCTAAAGTATTCGGTTTCTTTTCCAAAGAATGTGAAGCCGAATATGTCATTTAACTTTGGGAAAAAGAAATTTGCAAACAATTGTATTGCACCCCTAAAACTCAGAATGAAAGGTGTACGACCTGTTGAAACGAAGAAGAAAAAAGTGTTTTTATATTATAATAATTTTTTTTCATACAAATTTTTCAAGGGAAGTATATTTTGTATTTAACACAATTGCCCATTTATTAAAGCCATAATTATTGTCTCATATCAATAAGTTAGTCATCAATAATCAGTTTTTTATAAAAAAATTATCGTCTTAATTACTTAATTACTTGTGAACAAAATTTGCAATGTAAAAATGATTCACGTATGTATTTTTTTTGTTTTTTTTTTTTGGTTCTTTTTTTTTGTTTTGTTTGTTTTTTTTCCATCGGATGTTATTATAAAGGCAGAATATAAAATTCTAACTCACTGCGAACGAAAAATTCGGGTTCGGGTTTCTCGAATGAATTGGTCGAAATTCCAAAACTCAGCGATGAAATGACGTCTGTCGTGAATTTGGATGCACCATCTTTGATATTAATAGTAGATTGTTTGCCGTTGTCTAAATGGTCCACTATATATTGCTTGAAATTCTCTGAGATCTTCAATATTTGATTGAACAAGTGCTTCTGCTTGCCAGTCGTAAAAATCGGCGACATCTTATTTCTCAAATACTTCCATTTGGGATTATCAATAGAAAAAAGATTCGAGCTGCCAAGTACATCGTTCTTCCGCTTCGAAGCGAAATAATGGTTCGGAAAGAAGTTGAAGTCCTTAATGAAGATATGCTTAAGAACTTCGGGACTGCGCACTATGAGAAATGGTTTTTGAAATATGTAAATACCGACGACCGATTCATTGCAACTATTATACATATCAGCTAGCATTTGCGGCGACGACGTACGCTGCATAATACAATTTTTAAAATGTCCAAATAACCAATGCACTGGAGGTGTATAAACTCCTTTGCGCGACCAATATTTATGTTTATATTTGATGTATAAATAAAACGTTGTTATAAGACTGGTTAATACTGCCCCGTAGATGCAAAAATTTGACATGTCTGGTATCATTGTTGGATACTTTGTATTATATAATTATCACATTAGTTAATGGTTAAGAATATTCGAGTTACTTAAGCACAATGGAAATGTTTTACCTTAACGTAGATGTTTCTGCGTCGACGCTCGCAAAGAAACTAAGTGTAATGTGTAATTTATCCAGCTTATATTATTGTACTATAATTTAACATATTGACGCAAACTAATACTGCAACGGGAGTGTCATAACTTGTTTGTGTTTATTACTTGTTGCTGTGATTGTAAGTTTTTTTTTTTTTTTTTTTTTTTATAACTGCTATAAGTAATTCATATTTTTTAATTGCATATTATATAAGTTACTTTAGACTTAATTAAACGGTATAACGCTAATAGTAATTCCAAAACTTGAAATATATATTCGTTAAATATAGTATGCATTTTTTTAATTTATGAAATATATATCAATAATTACATTATATAATAATAATTACATTCATACATTTATAATTTTATTTGTATTTTATTCAATAAATTTATAAACTTAATTTTAGCTTAATCAAAATTGATTAATAAACAATATTATTTAATTATTAACGCGTGATATTACATGCACATTCGTATAAAGCTGCAATTATTATTAATATTCTATTTACTTATATATATATATATATATATATATATAAACTATGAAATAAAAAGATAAAGAACGTAAAATTTCACTATGACAACAGTGAGTAAAAATCTCAAATAATAAGGAAATGCAAAACAAAACAGTGAAACAACGACTAAATGATTAATATAAAATCTTCTTTATCGTAATATATAAAAAAGAATAGTTGATTAAAAAACAAAACAAAAAAATATAAATAAATAAATTTTAATACATAATTAAAATTTGTAAATTTTATTATTAAAACATATTTTTTAAGTACGATTCGAAAAGTACATATATAAAATTCACAATGAAATTCTCTATAATTCAACATTTATATTATAAATGAATTGCAAAAAATTTAATTATTTAAATATATAATTATTACATACCTAGGCGTAATACACAATAACAAATCAATACCTGATCACATAAATTAATAAATGTTATTCCGTACAATGTTTATACTTAATTACTATTATTTAAATAAAAATTTTACATTTTAAGAAATCTCTTCAAGAGATAATTTATCAATTTATAACGGTAATGATAATAATACACAAAAGATCTCATCTTTATAATAAGTTTATGCAAATATCTCAATTATGAGAAGAAAATATAAAAAATTGAATGCCCGTTACAATTAAGCACTTAATGAAGAATAATTTTATAACGAACCATTACAACATGATCTCTGAATTAATTCATATTTATTGCGTTCTTATATTCAATCAACATCCACACATTCATTTATCCGTACATATCTACTTATTGAATTGTTCACTGCTAATTGAATATGTTTATATCTTAAAAGGTTGGATTTTAAAATAAGATTGAATTTAAAATAATAGTATCGCGTAATAATTGGTTTGTAATTGGATAATGGTAACATTAGATCACGAATAGATATTTGATGTTTTATGATTTTCATCATTGTCATTATATAATGCTAAATCAAAATATTTATAGAAATTAATAAATTTGATATAGCGATGAAAACAAAAATTTACAATAATAAACTTAATTATTCAATTTTACTCTACGAAATAATCTAAAACAATGGTTATAAATTAAAATAAAGATAATAAATATGGTAAATTATTTAAATGTTGTATAATTATTTTAGAAAATTTTGTTTCTTCGTATGTATAAATTAATTTTATTTCTTATCGTTTACGTAGTACTTATAATCTCAAGCAAAAATTCTTGATAATAGTAAATATTGATATGAAGATTTACTTTATCTTCTAGAACGTTTTCTGCAACAAGTGGACATATTCCTGTACTAACACCAATAAGCTTATTTCTATATAAAAGCGGACTACCACTGTCGCCCTAAAAAGTTATAATACTTTATAAAATATGCAAATATAAGTACATAGTAAATATATAATCCATTTCAAAAAGCAAAATAGATATTCAATTAGATATTATTAAACAAAAATCCTATTAATACACGATTCATTCTAAATCTTGTTTTTAGTCAAGGACAGTGAGTTGAAATTATTTATAGCAGAAGCATGTCATGCATTTTTCTTAAATTTTATTACGATTATAAATATTTTCATACTACTCAAATTCCTCTCTTGCTTTTTTTTTTTTTTTTGTTTTTTTTTTTGTTTGTTTTTTTCTTTTTTTTAGTTCGAATATTTTATACGATTGAACTAATACTTAACTGAAATAACCGAATGTAATATTAAAAATGGTCGATGAAAAAATTCATTTAATATTATGTGAAATGAGTGTTTGTTTAGAACTTGAATAATACTACATTAATAATTTTCTTTCTTTCTTTTAATTTATATTAATTTTATAGCTACAAAAAGAAATTATTAATATACAACGAAATAATTTAACACAAGAGTTAGCATGAGAAAATTTGTCTGTTGAATGTAATTTCTTCGAAACTTATATTGCATCGGCTTTTATAATTTAATGAGAAAAATGGAAGCAGCTGCGGTCGTCTAATTACGTAACTTAAGAATTTATCAAATATACTTTAAAATAGTAAATGAAGAAAACTATCACTCGCTCAATAATACTCAAACTCGTGCATTTTCTCTTTAATCGTTCATTCTACTTCAAGGGCATTTACATTTATAACGATAAAAAGAACTGCCATTACAATTCGATAAACGAGCCAATTGTTCAAATGTCCCGTGCCTGCCGCGTTTCTTTATTAGATTTCAATGAAATTATATAAAATAGCGAATACTCACATCCATCAACACCGTAAACGGATCTCCTATAGTGCATAAAATATTTTCTTGAATTTGTATACGACGCCCAAGGACTCTAGAAATTTGACGATCACATCCCTTTTTCGACATAACTTTTAAATCGGCAGCTTGCAAGGTCGTAGGATACGTATTATTATTTAAGCTACCCCAGCCCAATACAACGACGCGTTTGCCCGAAGTTTTCTTTTGCTCGTAGAAAGAAAAAGTTACAGTATTAAATTCGTCCATCACAATACTCGTCAACTGAAAAAATTGGAATGTTTTTAAATATTCAGTTTTATGCATTAGTGAGGATTTTATATAAAGCTATATTTGGATTAAAAGTCTTGAGCGTCAGAAATCAATCCACGCTTCTTTCTATAATGAAATCTGAACTTTTATAAAGAATTGGATAGTACGATGATCGAGGCAATTACCCGAATGTCCTAAAAATATCCTTAAACATATATCGACAAAATATATGGACCGTTTATAATGATTAGAACAAAAGGATAGATAGAAAATGTTATTAATTGGTATCGTTGCAATTAATAATAATAATTCGTCAAGTTGTCTTTAATATATAAAAGTTCCTTCATAACAATATATTGTATCTCTCATAATACAAATAGACAAAAATAAAGATAAAACAAAACAACAACAAAAAAAAAGCTTAACTGAGCTGCTCTGAAAAAAAATTCCTTAAAAGTATATTTACCCTTATAAAACAAAAATCATTTATCAGATATCCTTTCCGTTGATCGCTATGTTGTTCCCATTGCTCGTACGAAATCCACCAGTTTGGATAAAATCTGAATTGTGGCGAATCCGTTAATCCAACGAGAAATTTCGTATTATTCATTTCCACATATTGCATGCAATGTTCGGCGGATATAACATCGTGTCTGGTAACGAGTGCACCGGTGCATATGAGATCCGTTGATACATTAGCACCCGGAACTATGAACATTACTTTAATAACAAAACTTTGTTCATTCTGCTGTGCCGGTCTAACGTTATGTCCATACAGAGCCTTCGTGTGCGAAAAATGATGAAAAATCAAAATCCCTAAGGACATGAAATGTCAGGTAACTCTTTATGACTACAATTCCATAAGTTCGATGAAAATTATTTGTATCCGAATTATAAATGGAGCGAATTGTGGCTTAAGTTAGTATCGATGGCATAAAAATTATGAGTATACGTGGAGTGCTCGGATCGTTCGTGCTCTAAATAATTTTTACAAATAATGAATTCGTGAATGTCCATTGAGTGTCACAGTGTTACGTACCAAATACTATGTGTCGGATAATAAAGAGGTAAATGTGATGCTGCATGATTTTACAATATAAAAATTTAAATCACAACAGAAGAATATGTATGATAAAACAAATAGATTTATAAAATATGATACATTTTAAATGGTAAACAGCAAATACAACACGATTCGATCGTAAAAAATTTTTTTTATTGCTTGTACGTCCTAATGCATTATGAATAAAATGTATTTGTTAAATTTATAATTATAAATTATATATTGAAAAGTTGTATTTATTATTTATATATAATTATAGACTATTTACAAATTGTTATATACTAACGGATCGTTATTGTATTTATTATAAAATTACCACTTGATGATTAATCGTTTCGTTATATTTATTTAAACTGAAAATTAAGATTAAATACGCACACATATGTATATGTATATATTATAAATAAAATGTAAATAATTATAGAACACAATGCTTAATTTACAACCTGTTCTCTTACATCGCTAGACAAATCCTGTCGCTTTTACTCATTATTTATATCTGAAACGTGAAAGCGCTAAATGGGAAGAAAATCCAAATATTTTCCTCAATTCGTACTAAGAAATTTCGATAAACTTGTTACGATGTGGTTTCCGAGTGGATTCGGAAAAAAATTATAAAGTTTAATTAAACATATTTTCGTCATTTATTAGATAATCCTTTTTTTATGCCTTTATTTATTTTTAGCACACGTACATAAATCTTTTTTTTGTTTGTTAATCGGCATTTAACGTTTCGTATAAATAACGTCGATAATAGTATAAATTATCATGAAGATTTACTTTATCCGGATGCATGCCTTGGTCAGGCAATGGACCTGTTCCCGTGCTAATGGCGATAAGCTCATTATTATAGATAACCGGACCACCACTGTCACCCTACAAAATTATAATTGTAATTAAAATTGCATAAGGGAAAATAAGTTGCGTATTATTGTTATTATTTTGAATAATATTTGTCGGGAAAAAAAAAAGAAAATGAAAAAGGGAAATACTTATCAATAGTGCCTAAATTGTATACTATCTCTTTTTGAATGTGTGCACTTGATAAAACAAAACAAAAAAACAAAAAAAAACAAAAAAAAAACAACAAAAAAAGAAATAAAAGAAGAAAAAAAAGAAAAAAATGAAGGGGGATTGATAATATCACACGTCATAAAGAATATATCGACACCTTATGTTTAAGTTAAAAAATGAAATATCGATCACGAGTGACATAAGATAAAGTTGTAATCTGATATAAAATTAAAATTATTTGGTGTAAAATCAATTCTTAAAATCTATTGGAGATCAATATGTTGATAAAAATTAATACACCAACTGGAAACGAACGATTTATCTCCAACGACACTTAAATTCACCTTGAAAATCAGATAATAATATTATTGATCGTGATAAAATATAATAGACGATGTTTACTCTAAAATGACCCCCTTATAATAAAAAAAAAAAAAAAAAAAAAAAACCAAAAAAAAAACCAAAAAAAAAAACAAACAATAAGATTGATTCTCAATTAAGATTCTCATTGCCATGCTTAATCAGCGATCTTAATAAATTCAAATTAACCGGGATATGTATAGATATTTAGAAAGAATGTAACCTTTAATCTCATCTTTTAAATTGTTAGCTCATATTGCTTGTCACATATATATTTGCTTCGGATCATGCATACGTATACGCGTCTATGCAATTGTATAAATTAATACATAAAGTCGGGCATGCATCTCTCTTTACGTATGTACGTATGCATTAAGATTATATGCATTGATGCAATGATAATAAGTGCAAAGTTTTTTTGAAATACAAGACTTAATTGGCGAAATATCGTAAAAATTGTGCAAATGTACAAAAATTGTGAAAACGTACGGTCATCATGAACGCATAGGGAAATCCAACACTGCATAATACATTATTTTCAACCCTTAATGAACGTTGCTCGAGCATCGTAGCTCGCATCTGGCACTCCTCGCGTGATATAATTCTTGTGGTAGTTGTTCGAAGTGTCGAAGGGTAGGCGCCATTTTGTATTTCACCCCAACCTGCAGTCGTTACGTTTCTACCTACGAGATCCTCGAGAGTGTAAAATGAAATAAGCGCATACGGAGTTCCAAATTCCAATCTATTAATTAACTAAAACATTATTCATTTTAAAAAAAAAGAAAGAAAAAAAAAAAAAACGTTAATTTCCATTTACAAAGCTATTATTGTTAATTTCTATCGAAGCCAGTTACAATTTTTAAAAGATTTTTGTATAACTGCATACAATGAGACGAATCAATGAATTTATTTACCCTTATAACTGCAACGTCAGTCTGATATGGATAATTTAACTGATACATCGCCCACTGATACTGCGATATCCACCATAACGGATAATGTCTGTTTGTAGATCTTATGTCGACCGATCCCACAATTAATTGAATGCCGTTCAATTCTTCATTATTCGTACAATGGGCGGCTGTCAAGACGTCCTGACTAGAAACGAGTGTCCCGGTACATACGATGTAACGTTCGGCATTAATATTCTCGATTCGCTTTGTAATTGCCACGATAAATGGAAAGTCTTGCTGCCTCGCTTGCGTAATGCCATGTCCAATCCAAGCATCGACACTTGCAAAATTACAAGCTATAAGTAGCTCTAAATAAATCAAAATTTATTTGTAATATTAATATTAATCCAAGGCGTTTCATTAATTTGGAATTTCATTTCACATTCGACATTTAAAATTATATAATTAATTATAATAAACAAAAAAATAATAGAAATATTTTCCTTACCAAGTATTGCAATACATATTTTAAGAATATTACTTTGGCTTCCCATGTTAATTTAAAATTTATTAAAAGGATAAAATTAATTATTAAATCTATCTAAAATTTCGAGATTTTCTAAAAAATATATAATGCACAGTCAATTCTACGTAATACGCATAAAAAAAATGTAGGATAAATTCGTTAAGCAATTAGAATAGAAAAGACAAAATGATTTTATAAGGTTTTGTCAACAAAAAATTAATATATCATATTAATTAAACAAATAATTATTCTACGCTCATTGGCGGTAAAATTGTTTTTTAATTTATTAGCAAGAAAGCGTCAAGTTTTTGCCAATGAGACATTGACTTTTAAATTTTCTTTTACAAAATATTTCCTTCGCATCTACCTGCACTATAATGAATATAAAAATTTTTGTTTAATTAATATGATATATTATAAATGTAATGAAAATAATCTTCATCTTTTTATTTTTCTTTTTAATACTTTTATAAATATCGTCTATCTCGGTCGCACGTAATAATTTATATTCTATTGAATTGATACTATTAGCAATGATATTGATTTGTCCGAAGATTAATTTCATCCGAATAAAACACTTGTGATATGTGAAAGTTAGCTTGTACCGAGATCAACAGTTATAAGCGAATCACCTCGAATCACCCTAAAAATTCTGGTATATTTACATAAATTAATGTTTATATAGGCCACAACGTCGAGCTTATAAGTGAATTATAAATATTCGTTTGTGTGTTCGAAAATATTATATAAACTATTGTTAATACATTAGTTTTCTCATGTTTTTTTTTCTAAATACACGATACATGACATTTTTACAAACATACTTATCTGTTTTCATGTAATTAAAAATAATATTTTGAAATATAACGTTTTCAAAAGTCAATTATAAATAATCATATAGAATTTAAGGTATTATATAATTTTTAAAGTCTTAACTATTTAAGTATCTTAAATTTACATATATATATATATATATATATATATTGAAAAGTGATGTAATTTTCTTTTTCATTTTTTAAATATCAATAAATATCATATCTATAACTATTTAGACAATGATTTGTTTAATATGACCTAGCTTACTTATTATTTCATATATCATTAAAGTATTATTGTACTTGCTTAACAAACTATATCCTACTTTATCTATAATCTGCGATTTTCAAACACAGAAAAACTCTATTCGCGTTCTACTGTTGTTATAACTGTAAAGATACAGCTACAATGACAATCTGATCTACTGGCTCAATCGAATCAAGCTTTACAAAGTAAACATATGCAAAATACATCTTCCATGGAAGTTTTTAACTAAAAAATCTTAAAATTTTCTTCCTTCGTAAATTATTTTGAAGTATATTACGAAGTTATGTTTACTGCGTAAAAGAATATTTTGTACAATAATGCTTATCTCTATAAGAATAATATTATTTCCGCAATTAATGATGCATGTATTTATGTAGTAAGGATCTTTGACCATAATATCGCCACCAAGTTGGCTCATGTTTTTTTTAAATGGAATAATTCATTGGGCCCTATGATTATTTCAATACCATCCATTACATTATTATTTATACAATTAATCACTAGAAGTTTCATATTGCAACATGACAATAATATAAAATATAAAATATAAAATATAAAAGGAGAAAGTATAAAATTAAATATATTGTATTTATCTTTATATATATATATATATATATATATATATATATATATATCTTAGAATTAATAATCATAAATCTATTATATGTTTTAAATCATAAATTGTAATGCATAAATTGTAATACAATCCTATAGAGTGTAAAAAAGAAAAAAAAACAATATTATAACGTTCTTAAGCGAATATATTAAATATAAAACAAATAATAAACTAAAAATATTTCCATAATTCTTCTCTACTATGATATTAATATTTACAATATTCTGATAACAATTCGTAAACGTTCACACAAAGTGCTGAAAAATTCAAATATTAAATTTCGTCGAATAGTCAATCTCTGAAAATACTTATTTTATCGTATCTTAATTCTTAAAAATGAATATGATTATGAATATAATGAATATAATGAAAAAAATTATCTATGTTACTATGTTTAAGCTCATATCCAATAAAAATATAATCCTTATTTTTATGATTAAACTCGTAAAATTTATCAGACAGCATAAAAATGATTTTTATTATACATGCCAGCGTATACAAGCTTTTTTTTTCTTAATTACAATATTCTTTTAATATGAAGGTCATTTACATTAAATATAAAATATATATATATATATATATATATATATATATAATATTACACATAATAATTATAATATAAATGGCAAATAGATGTTATCTAGCGAATTTATATTAAACTTTTCGTTTTTGTGGAAGTTTATATTATTTAATTTAATAAAGATTATTATCAATAATTTATCAGAATTATTAACATATTAATAACAGTTTTGATTGGGCTTTATATATTTGATGAATATTTCTCACAGAATTAAGAATTTGAAAAATGAATCGTTTTGACGTATAAAATATATGTTTTTTTTTTTTAAATATCAGATTTATGATATAAAAGTTATCCTTTTTGAATAAAATCTTCCCAAATATTAAAATCATACAATAAAATCGCTATTTGCCATTATAATATTGAATTATAAACAATAATTATTATTTATAACAAAACACTTGTGTTCTCGTTTTGTCATTAGTTTCGCCACATTATACTAATATGAGGCATTTTTCATAAAAATTAATCAATTTAATCAATTTTAAAATAAATTTAGACGCCAATTGAAATAGTATGACATTAAGTGTTTGTAAATCCTTGAAAAAAAGTAATTGCATGTAGTACTATGTTTTTGATTGCGAAGAAAGTATTATCACAATATGCACAAGTTATCTAAGAATTTATCTATAAATATATTAATCCTTTGCTGAATATCATACAAACCTTTCTACTTAATTCTAATATCTTGTTGAAATGCTAATAATAAATGATAAAGTATTTTTTTTTTTTTTTTTTTTTTTTTTTTTTTATAATAAATATTAAATTTAAATTTACGCATATTTATCAATTTCATGTGTATTTACTTATAACAACTTTATTTACCTACTTGATAATATATGAAAAATACACTTCTCTATAGATAAAAGTCTATTAAGTTTTGTGCTATAGCATATCCCTTGCAAACCGTTTAATTTTATTTTACCTAAAATTTTTAATTCTATTCGATAATTAAGTGTTTCATACTCAAGTAGTTTTTTTTTATTTTTTTTTTTTTTTGTTTTTTTTTTTATGTTAAGTAGCTGATAATATTTATTTAATATTATATTAATAGATGCAAGGTATGTATCTTAAAATAATTTCTTGCAAATCAATCTGAAGCCAATAAGACAGTAATTTACATGAGGATTGAAAAAATTATTAATACATAGACACCAACTACTAACAATTCTTAATAATCTTTTACTAATAAACTAATACTCGAAGATTAATTAATTTGAATAATACTTGTTAAAATATAAAATATAAGAATTTTATATAAAGTCTATATATTTTAAGATAATGTCAAATTATTGTTAATTTATTGACTATTGATAGTAATGTCTACTAATTCGTCTGTGTTTTATTTTTTAAAAGTACAAATATCCAAGCAGATTCATAAAAGAACAGGAATTTTCAACTGCAGAATTTTAATATTTCCATAGCATGAAACAATCACTGATTGTGTATTTATACGAAACTAATTCGAAATAATCTGAATTAATTATAATAAATAGTTATTTAAATATTTTTACGGATTAAGAGATTAAAATATTGAAGTTGTATGTAATTACTAATTTAATACAACATCACAAGTTTACATCATAAAGGTAATCTTCATTTCTTAAAATCTACTTTTATATTCATAATTAATGTATCATCTGTCGATTTATTATATATAATTCTAAGGAATAAAATTATAATATATAATAAAAAACGTTGTGTGTTTATATTAGTTTTCCAAAACTTATCATTAACGAAGTATCATTTACTAAATCCTTTATATATCAATAAAATTATTATTGTTTATAATAAATTAAAATAATACTATGTCCTTTTATTAAATATATATTATATATATGATTGTATATTATAAATATATTACATATTCATATATATATATATATATATATATATATATATATATTGCTCCAACTGAAAATATAAACTATATATCCACATACTAAAAATATGTTCATGACGTATGATGTAGTAAGATAATAAATGAATTTTGTTTGAATAAATTCATGTTTGTTATAAATAATTCATTGTAATTAACGTAAAAATATTCTTTATTATATATTTCCGTAGACTTTAAATATAATCCAGATGATATTATTATTAATGGTCCTTGGAAATATCTATACTATCTTCTTATAAATATACATTTATTTTCTACTTAAAAATTATTAATGACATCTGTGAAATATCGTTGATAGTATAAAATATTAGTATGAAGATTTACTTTATCTGCATTAAATAGGTCCTGAGGAAGTGGACACGTGCCCATATTAACACCAACAATATTATTATTATTATACAAAAGTGGACCACCACTGTCGCCCTAAAAAATTATAATTAATAAATTTACATTTATATTTTCATTGATATAGATTATAAGGAAATATATAAATTCTAAAAATTTATCCTTCAATTTAGTATGAAAATATTTTTATTTATATTTCGTGAAATGCTAAATAATATTGTTATTTCTAAAACTGTAGAAAAATTAATAAAATTATGTTAATTAAGCACAAATGCATATACTAGTGAAATATAGTAAAAGTACTTCTTAAAGTTACGTTCCACAAGGATATTAGAAATACTTGAATTGCATAAAAGCATTATTTATTTTTTTATTATGAAATAAATATTCTAAATCTAACTCATTGTTAAATTACTTCCAATAATATAAGCTACATATAAGTAATATTATCCTTTAATAATTATGTTAAATGATATATATTGTAAAAAAAAAATCAAATATCAATGGTAGCTTTGAATGATTCTACCAATGATTTTAGAAATAACATTATTACATTAGCATAGAAAAAATTAAAATATTAAATTAACCCGCATTAGCAACGCTAAGGGATCTTGAGCGGTGCATAGAAGATTTCCATCAAGGTGGAGATTTTGTTCATCCAGCTTACTTATGCTCATTTCGCAGTCTTTTTTTGATAAAATTTTCAAATTCATTATTTGCAGCCTCTTGATGTTTGAACCATCGTAGCTGTCGCTCCAGCCGACTACTCTAACATTTTCATTCGCGAGTTGTTCATGCGGTATAAAAGATAAATTTGCAAAAGGAAATTCCTCGGGCATATCTTCTATTAACTAAATAATAATTTAATAATTTTATTAAAAAATTTTATATACAATTATTTGTTAACAAATAATTTAAAATTACAGAGCATAAATATATTTACTTTATTAAATTAGTAACTAGGATAAACTTGAATGTTGACAACAATGAATGACATATTAAAATATTACAATAAAATATTCAACATTAAGCCTCCAATTACGTATGCTACGTTGCAGCTTTGTAAATTTATAAATTAATATCAAGTGACGGATGAGGGCGGGGGTGGGGTGGGGAGAGGCGGGGGGGGGAGGGGGGAAAATTAAAAAGCAGTGGAGGGGGGGGGGGGGGGGGGGGGGGGGGGGGGGGGGGGGGGGGAGAGGTGGAAAATGTCCTCTACCGAAGTAAAAGTTTAAGTATTATTTCGAAATGTAAAACTTTCTTTTTTTTTGACAGAGAGAGGCATTTTTCTGTACCCATCACGTATTTGAATTTGTTTACTCTTGGCTCTTTTATGTCATTATAATTATTTTCCAATTCTATTACAAATAATAATTCAACACTAAAGTTTTCTATTTAATTTGATATCTTAATCAATAAAATGTACATTAACTTATATTTATATTTCCAAAATGAATGTCGTTTTTCGGTAAAATGAATTTTGTTTGAAATGACAAAAAATACAACTGCATTTAACCTTAAATAATAATTACCCTTATGATACAAATATCATTTTGTAGAAATCTATTGTGTGTAAACTTAATATCACTCCATTGTTCAAATGTTAACCACCAAGCTGGATATCTTATCTCAACAGATGCATTAATTGATTGAAGGATAATTTGAATGCCAGTTAAGGTTTGAACTCGCACGCAGTGTTCTGCTGTTAAGGCATATTGTTTAGAAAAAATTGCTCCTGTACATATAAGATCTCTTTCAGGTATAAAGTTTTTAACCCGTCTTGTAATGCCTATTATAAAAGGAAATTCGTTTCCCACAGTTTCCTTAATGTCGAGCTCATTCAGACATATTATAATTGAACAATTAAAAAAGAAAATATTCCCTGTGTAGAGAAAAAAAAAAGTAATTTCAATTTCAATGATTGCAATTAATTAACATTTTAATTATAATCTTATTTATATTACAATTTATAAAATTAAGGATGAGAATTTATTTTTTACTTACATAATAGCACGTATTGGCCAGTGAACATTTTTTTTTTGCTTTAACACGATGCGACTCTTACTTATAGAAATTACAAAAAAAAAAAGTATTTATAAAATTTAACTTATTCTATTTCATAAATGATAAGATATAATGTTTTAGTACCATTACGTATTTTTAAACCAAGAAATTAAAATTATTGAAAATTCCATAACTCGTAAATAAAAAAAAAACAAAAGAAATATAAAAAAAAAATTAAGAATTAATAAAACGAATATTTTAATATTTTTGTCTCATAAAATTAGATTCATAAAATACACGGTTAGTCATATATCGCATTTTTATATATTGAACTAACAATAAATATTTTTATCTTGAAATTGAACCATATATATATATATATATATATATATATATATAGAAATATAGTTCCTGTATACAAATAATGAATTATTTGTCTACTTGTAAATTATCGTGTATTCACAATTTTGTACAAATTTCTAATTATTCTAAATTTTCGAATTGACAACATCTTGAATCATTTTAAACATTTTTATTTATTGCAAGAATCAATTGCATACAATTTATAAATACTAACTTACGTTATTTTATAAAATATTTTTAACTTAAAAATTGGCGAAAAGTATTGTTGGAAAGATAATTGTTTTTTTCCATTTTATAATTATCATTCTAAATACTATCAACAATCATAAGAAATTATATTTTTTATTATATCCGTGTACTAGTGTATAATGTACAAAATATTTCGTAAATGTATTAAGAAACAATAAAGGAAAACTGTAATAAAACAAATGGTGAATATTAAGATTCAACTAGAAGTTTACTACGAGTACGAAAAACAGTAAAAATTTACAATTCCAAATCGGAAAAAGTGTAATTTCAATTTTATTTATAAATTCGTTTAAAACCTTTAAATTTTTCTTTATATAAATTTATAAAAATAATGAATTAATAATTATTGACAACATCAGTCAAATATTGTCGATAGTATAAAATATTAGTATGAAGATTTACTTTATCTGGATTAAATAGATCTTGAGGAAGTGGACATGTGCCCAAATTAATGCCTATAACGGCATTATTATATATCAATGGACCACCACTGTCACCCTAAAAAAATTATAATATCAATATATTAATGTACATTGACACATGCATGAGTATTATACATAAATAAATGTTTTGTAACTTCTTTTTTTTTTTTTAACGAGCTTTCTAATATCATTATTATTTTTAAAAGTAAATAAAAAATGAATTCATATGAAGTCGGGTATCAGCAATGTAGTTGGCATACAGTAACGGAAAAGAGGACAAATGGAAACTGAACCATTAAATAACAAAATTTTATCTAATTTATGTACAATTGAAAGTATCATAATATACAAAAACAAACTTATTACATAAAAAAGAACAATAGAAATTGTGTAATATTATCATATCTCCGTATCATCGTAGCCAACACCATATATCAATGGTGAAACAAACGAAAAAGGCAAGAGAAAGTGAAAAAGTGACGTTTTAATAGAAAAAATATATGATAAAATCAAAGTTTTTGTACGTTTAAACACAACAGTTTAAAAAAATTAGTAAAATCTCATCAATAGCAAATATTTTACTGATATTCAATATTTTTACAGTATTTTGGCAAAAAGGAAGTTATAAATTTAAAAAATTTATTTTTAATTAAACATTTCTTTAAAGCACGTTATATTCAGTAATTCAATAATGCAATATAATAATAAAGAAATTTCGTTAAACATTTAATTGTTAATATTTCATTAATTCTTGTCACATTCTATATATACAAAATTATTCGAACTCTTTTTAAATGGCTTTTCTATAAATACTTATTAAAGGTAAATATAACATAAATGTGTGTTTAATAGAGGAAAAAAAATCTTTTCAATTCAATTTTTATTCATGAATGTCAATAAAAATTTTGCATAGCACTTTTGAATGACGCGTTAATGACTGCAGTAACTTTTCGTTATTTTTATAGTAAATTAGTAAATAGTGACTAGACCATGAGATATGATAATATTCTTAATCTGTATTCATGATTTGTAAATCACGCATTAAATATGATTATATTATATTATAAATTTATATAAATTAACTTTAGCGCAGCAAAAAGCAAATGAGTGAATTAATCCTAAAGTTTACGATTTACGACCAAATATTCCGACGAATAAAAGTTTTAACTTGACATGTACTCTATGGTATCCAATTAAATAACTTAATTTTTCTCTAATTAGATTAAGAATATAACGTCCAGATTAATTTATTAGATATAAATATAGAATTGTAATGGATAGTGCGATTTAATTTTATCATTCTATGCAAGCGTCGCAGTACTTATTAGCGATAATTTATTAAAAAAAAAATTTTATTTCATAAGATTCTTTTGTTAGAATAAAAATTTCATGCGAAAAAGAAAATCACACTTTGAGATACAGTAGATTATAATTAATACTAACGTGCATCAGCAACGCAAATGGATCATTATTGGTACACAAAATATTTTTATCGACGTATAATCGTTCTCCGTGCAATGCACTGATTTTGTTTTCGCATATATCGGTTGGCAAAATTTTCAAATCGATAATTTGTAAAATCTTTGGATATGAGCCATTACTCAATTGGCCCCACCCAACTGAAATAACATTTGCACCTATCACATTCTTATTTGATACATATAATATGCTTGCTAATGGTATAACATCGGGTATAGCATCTGTTAACTAAGTAATAATTTGTCGTTTACAAATACAAAGTGAAAAACGTAATATATAATAATTATATATAATGAAAAATATTAATAGCAGCAATAAATTTATGTGCAATTCACATTTAATGCCAATGCTTATTAATATTGATGTATATAAATGTATTCTTAAAAATCGATATCTATATAACTTACACGTATAAGGTTAATATCATTTTTAGGAAATCCTCTATGTATATTTCTTAATTGGTTCCATTCGTCAAAAGTTAGCCACCATGCCGCAAAATACTTTATTCGACTTGATATGTCGATCGATCCAATAATCATTTCAATATCTTTAAACGCTTTACCTTTTACACAATGAGCAGCCGTTAAAACATAATTTTTAGTGAAGGCTACACCTGTGCACATAATAGCACTCCTTCCCTCAACTTCTGGCATTCGCTGTATAATTCCTGCTACAAAAGGAAATTCATTCGTCATTGCTTGTCTAATACTATGTCCTATCATAGGCGTTGTACTTGTAAATTCGAAAATGAAAAAATTCCCTAAATAATACAAAATTAGTTCATTTATTCAGCAACGATAGAATAATCATAATTTATATTTAATTAATTGTAAGTTTAATTAATGAAATGTAAAAGTATATTACTTACAAAATATTGTATATTGACCAGCGATGAATATTTTTTGGATCAGCATGGTAAGATAATTTATTAAAAAGCCAGTACCAGAAATAAATAGAAAATAAAATATATCCAAACTTACGAATGCAAATAAGTAATTCTTTCATGCTCTCTCACATACTTACAATGACAAATTAAAATTATTAAACTAATTCACCTAGCGTACGATATAAATCTTATTGCATATACAGATAACCAGAAAAATTATCTTTTACTATATCAACAATGGTATTTAAAATGTCTGAAATTAATAAATCAGTCCAATTAATTATTATAAAGCAAATTGTTTAGAGTCTAATTGTACCGTTGATGTTATATAAAATAATGAAATGTTTGTAAATCAATTTCTATGTAAATCAAATGTTTTACATAGAAGGAGTACAATGAATAAAAGATGTGCGATCTTTTATTGAAAAAATCATTTGAATGATTATGAATATTATAATAATAATAATAATAATAATAATAATAATAATAATAAGTATTTGTATTTTTTTTTAAATCATGTGTAGAAGACAATCGAGTTTCTGTTTAGATATTCTTCAACAAAAAAAAAAAAGAAAAAAAACATAAAAAATATACTATACTCGTTAAAACAAATTATCAGCATTAATTTTATTTGAAAATGTATACAATATGTGTGCGCACGTATGCATGTGTGTGTGTGTGCGCGCGCGCGACTGTGTGTTCATATGCATGTGAATAAATACTGCACAAAATTTATTTTTAAAATACAATTTGTTCAAAGTGTGAGAATAAAATTATTTTCCTATTATTTGTAGTAGAAAAAATACATTTTAAATCAATAAATAAGGCGTAAAAAAGGTTTTGATTATTAAAAAAAAAAATTAATTTCCCTTTTATTAAAAAAAAAAAAAAAACGAAATACCTTTATTTTTTCTCTTCTTATGAAATAATATTACTTTATACCAATATTAAATATTAATAAATAATATTCATTGTCGATATTTAATACTATAGAAATATTTAATTGTATTTGTTATCTTTTTATCTAAAATTGGACAATAAAGGTTATATGTTTTTCTATAAATTAAGTTAGAGGATTATGTAGTTATTGAAATAGATTTAATTTTAAGCAAAGATTATGTGTGGAATACAATGTGTGTGTCTGTGTGTGTGTGCGTGCGCACGCGCGCGTGTGTGTGTATAGGCAAATTAAAATTGTCTCTTTTTTATAATTTACATAATCTATACTGAAAATTTATAAAGTAAATAAAATATTCAATGATTAAACGAGTGCCAAATATATATTATACACATTTCTATTGTTTGAACGGATTTTTATAAAATCTTTTTATAAAATATATCTTTAACCGCTTATTCTCATCGATATCGAAAAATTTTTTAATCAGTTCTTCAAGTGCTTTACCAACTATTAAAAATAAGTAAAATATATTGTAGTGCCATTACTTCTATTTTAAAGTTCAACGTGTAATTATAATATAATTGTGTGTATATTATATTCTACATAATTGAGTAAAATGATAATTAAAATTAGTAAACATATTTCTACCTTCCTCAACAGAAATTTGCAATTGTAATATTATAATCTAAGGTATTGTGAATGTTATATCTCTGTTGGCTAATTATAAAATATATATTTTATATATTCTCTCTATTATATATTCTCTCATTTCAACTGCTTAACAGTAATAATAAAAACGTAAACCAAAAAATTAACAAAAATACTACATTATAGTAAACGTATCAAGACATAAAATAAATTTTATAAATATTTCACAATGTCTTTAGAATAAAACAATTATTGTTACTAAAAAAGAGTGAGAAGTAGAATTAATATCACTTCAAAAAATTCTTAATGCTACAATAAATTATTTATACTTTTCTGTTTTTATAATTTTTTATGTTTTAATACATCGACATTTTTTAATTAAACATACTATTCTATTGAATAAATTTTTGAATTCTATTGGATTTTATCAAAATTATTTGAAATATATGTTAATTTTAATAAAAATAATATATAACTATCAATAATACAATATTTTTATCAATAACAAAATTTACAGTGTGACTCGTGGAAGAATGATTACTAACTTGCAATAGATAGATATCGATGTTTGTATTTATTGGGCGATGTTATTATTTATTACTTATAATCATGAAAGAATATTATTTAATATATTGTTTAATTTATAAACAAAATTCATATTATTACAAAAATATTTACACTTTTAAAACCAATTCGAATAATATATTTACTACACAGATAATCGAATGATAATATTATAAACAACATATTTACTTAAATTTAAATTTATTTAGTAAAATTCTAACTAAAGTTAAGATCAATTATCTCAACCGCTACTAAAATCTAGATAAATACAAATAGAAAAATTAAAATAGACGTCATGTTTGAATTAAAGTTATATTTCGTTTAAAAATATAACTTATTTATTAGCATCTTCTGCATAAAATTAAATTAACGCTTTTAATGGAGTAAATAAAATATAATATTGACAAGGAAAATTAAATCTATTTTAATTATTAATATTTTATTGTAGTCCAATTATCTTGAAATATAGAATTAATTTTATAATGCTTGAAAAAAAAAGTTATATTTGTTTGTTTATTGGATGAAAATCAAATTGAAAATAAAAAATGAACTATTCTTACGAATAAAAGTTAATTCCAAATATGGTTTGTATAATAATCAGGGAAAAGTTTATTTTATTATGAATGAAACCATTATTGAATTAATAGACATGTACATGAAGAATGGCAACAACATTTTTATATAAAAATCATCCATTGGTGTCAATCTAAAATATTTACGTATAAGTGTAGCGTAATATGAACATAAGTGTACAATATATATATATATTTATTTACGGATTTATTTCTATATGTAACTAATTAATTATTTATTTAGATATTATTTCATAATCAGAAAAATCTTCATTCTTGTTCACAAATAAAGTTTCGTATATGTCAGAAGTATTATTCGTATACTGCAAGATTACAAATAAAGTCTAGACGAAAATTATTATAGAAATAATCCACATATCACATTTGTTAAAGAAAAATGTTTAAAATTAATTTCAGTCTGTATGATCTTAATCAATTTGAAATCGCGCTTTGATAAAAAATTGAAGAACAAAATTTGTAAAATATACTATAATACTAATTATTCTCTTTCATAAAACAAAAATTTTAATATATATTTTAAAGAGGTAAGAAAATTATGGATTAAAATAAAATTATTTTAAAAATTAAGAATATATTTATGAAAATATTTTAATGTTTTACATAAAATATCTATTCAAATAAAAATTTTATTAAAATCTATTTATTTTTAATTAAGATAAAATTTTGAAAGACCTTTTTCAAAAAATAATTTTTTTAAACTATGTATTTCTGCGTATATCTTTCTTAAATATATCAATAAATAAAATGCAAATATTTAAGAAAAAATTTGTAATTTACATTCTTTTTTTATTTAAAATTTGTTAATTATCATATATAAAAAAAAATTATTGTTTTTAATTCAAAATATTAGTTCACTAAATAATATTTCTTTAAAATATTAAATATGAATGTAAAAGTAACGATATTTTATATTAGATTATAAAAATAATTACTTGTATATTGATTAATTTTTATATGTAGATTTAACAAAAAATCTGTAAATCAGCATTGCAAGTTGAGCATTGCAGTTTGAGGTAAATAAAAATATATTTTGTAAAGAGCCTCTATCCGCTGCTACTAACGCTATCTTGAGATTCTTTTCCTAGAAAAATATTCAAATGAATCATGTAATATTAATCATGTAAATCATATAATATTCTAGAAAATTAATTATTTAATATTAAGTTGCTCTAGTGACGCCTTTTGAAATTAATTTACTACACGGTCTAAACGATAAAATTGTTACAATAATCACCTGAATCGTCGTAATAGTTAATTAAAATTTTTGAAAAATTGAAAAATATACTTTCTCAATTTAAAATGATTAATATATAAAAATATATTATTTCTTAAAAAAGAAATCAAGAAACTGAAGCAGAGCAGCGTTTAGTTCTTCAAATATACATACAAAATTAAAATGTTATTAGCAAAAAATAATATATTAATAATAGACTATGTTATTTTTAATACATAAAATATAATTTTTTTTTAATCTTTTTGAAATTAATGGATTAGAAGTCATTACATATATATATTATATATATAATAATTCATAAATAATAATCTATTGAAGGAAATTCAATTTTAATTAATGAAATTTAACTGTAAAGAAAAAATTATTACGAACTCAATCGTATTATTACTCAAAAACATTCTAAAAATTTTCATTATAATTAAGTTTAATCAATACAGTTTTATTACAATAGTTTATTAATTTATATTAGAAATATTTATATTTAAATTGACAATTTATTTAATAATAATCTTGTAGATCTGAAATAAAGTGAAAATAATACGTAACATGCATGTGTAAATTGACACCTTCACTTTCAAAATTGTCTATTGAAGCTGGAACAGTTCCGAAATTAACACCAATTATCCAATTATGAAAAAAAAGTGGACCACCACTGTCTCCCTAAAAATAAATCTTAACTAAATTACATTTTCTCCCTAAAATTGCATTTCATACAATTTTTCTAATAATATCATTTTCAAAGAGCACTGCGTGTGTTTTGTTAAAAGAACTAAAAAAACTGGTTACAACTTTATTATTAATTTCCCTTTCATAATATCTAGATTTAATAAAAGATATTGCTATCATATGAAATAATATAAATAACATTTATTTCTACGATACATATTTGTCCATATTACTTCTAAGCGCACTCATGCAAATGAGAAAAAGCTACTTACAGAACGCAATAATACATATGGCAATGCGACACTACAAATGGTCCTTTCATCCACTCGAACGGGAGATCTATAAAATGGTTGAGTCCTATATACACAATTTTCTTTAGATAATATCGTTACACTAGCTTCTTGTAGGATATTTGGTACTGCGTTGTTACTTGATAAGCCCCATCCTGCAATTTGAGCTTGCCATCCATATACTAATTCTAACGGATTATTCCAGACATGCGCAGGTACAATTTGATCTGGTACACGCTGAAGCAACTAAAAAATCATTTAATTTTTTATTTTCGTTGAATTGATTTATTATGGTTTCAAAAAGTTTAAGTAATTAAAAAATACAAATTTAGGTACTGAAAGATCAAATAATTACATTTAAAATACCAATGTCATTATCAGTCATTTCTATTACGTGATTATTACTATTGGCCCACTGATCATACGTTATCCACCATTCAGGATAATATTTATAAGTCTGATCTATGTTACTAGATCCAGCTAGTACATAAATACCAGTAAGATGTTGAGCTGTCAAACAGTGTTCTGCAGTTAAAATATCTTTTCTAGAAATAAGTGTCCCAGCACATATATAATTTCTTCGCATATTATTTTCTAAAACATATCTCATAATGGCTACGATAAATGGAAACTCGGACTCTCCAGCTAATCTTACATTTTCTCCGATTAAGGCCTCAACTGTGGCAAAGTTACACCACATGCCTGCGCAATAAAAAAATTTTATTTCAATTTAATTATAATAATTCTGAATCTCGTCAGAGTAATCAATTACTAATTATGATTAATATTTGAGGTATATTAAAATAAAGATAAATAATAACTTACAAAGCAGTCGATAAAAGCCAAATAGAAGAATAATCTGTAGCCGCATACTAATATTATCAGCAATAAATTTGATAAAATGGAAAATATCTTACAATGTATGTTTGCAAATCATATGAAACATAATATATATATATATATATATATATATATATATATATATATTTTT